GGCCCATTTCGTACACTTTCCCTCTTCTTGGCTCCGCCAGGACTCGGAATCCATCAAAGCAGCACTCAAAAATTGTGGATGGGGCTTTAAGGTTTGCAAACTAAAGGGGAAACTGGCTGATCAGATTTTGCCCAATCAACCTCTAGTAAGCTGTGGCGATGATGATGATTTTGGGAAATCGCTCAACGCCCTAAGCATATTTTCAATTATATATAATTTAATATAAGCAAAAACCTTTGTAAATTGCATGGCTAACTACAATTTAATAGTACATTTCTTGTGGTGGAAGAGCATTTATCAGTTTAAAATAGAGTTTATTTGCACTAACATGAGGCAGCAAATAAACACGGATTGGTTGACAAAAAGTAAGCCTTTTGAAGCCAATTAAAAATGGGTCAAAGTTTGCCAATTCCCCAAATTCAATTTGTCAAACCCAATTCCCGCAATGGACAGAATGTGTATTGCGCTACCATTCCTGATTTTATTGCAATTTTTTTTTTGCTGGTAATACATAAATTTAATTTGGATATCTATTTGGTTGGGGCACATATGTACATACATATGTATTGCATTTATCGACCGATTTCGCATAATAAGCGATTACCTACTCCCGACTCCAGCAGCAGAGCGGAAATATTGATAAATGATCCGCCCACGTTCGTGGACAATTTCACAAAACCAATTCGCATCGAACGGATTCATTGTTCGCTGTTTTTGGGGCTCGGTGCTCCAGTGGGCACTGCAAATGGGTTCGGGTGGGTCCTTTTTGGCAATGACACCATGCCGCGGGATGCCAACGCATCAATACTCGATTTGGCATCGCTTCCTCGCACAACTTCGACATCGGAAAATTTCGCTCCCAGTTGCGAGCTACAAATGGAATTTATTATGCGTTGCCTGATTTCTATCCGCTGGCTGCAATTTATCTTCCATAAACATTTATCTGCGCATTTGACTGTGACCTGTCCGATTTCTCCAAGGATCGCTAAGCAGCTGAGTCATCGCCACTCGGCCAGGATTTATTATTATTGGTGGAGCTGCGGATGGAAACAAGCTTGTCCAAGGTGGCACCTAATAACACCATGTTCAAATTCAAAGTAAGTTCCTTTACTAAATAGTACAATGATGTAAGAAGGAAGGCGCAGATACCACAGCTCTTAACTTGGTTCGCTTTAAATCTGGCATAAAGGGTTAGGCACTTGGGGCGTGTAAGTCAAATAATGCCACTCACAATTAATCAAGATCTGCCAGACAATCATTTCCTCACTTAGGGAAGTTTTTTTGACAGTGAAAGGAAAGCGCCGCCAGATGATTGCTGCGGCTTGTTGCAAATCTCATTTCGTATGCGCAAGGATTTGGGGAAAATTAAAATTTATTGCCCATGGAAAGTCCCTGCTCCTTGCCCCTTTTATCCCCTTTTATCCCCTCCCGCCCCTCATCCCTCATCCCTTTGCCTTTGTGAATTCAACCGCTGACGGGGGAAGACCGCATTGGACTCCTCCTCCTCGGAAACTCATTTTGGAATACTTGTATGAAGGCGACGGCATGGAGCGTTCATGCCGCAGTGGACCAGTTGGTCCCACTGCCATGCCCATTCCCAATACCCATTAGGAACCTCCTGCCCCCAAGCCTCAAGTCCAAATCCGTTCATTCATATTTATGCCACACAAAGAGCAAAAGTTTTATGCCACTTCTTCGTCCTGCTCGCCGTCGACAGTTGTTTTTCTCACAAATTTATTGGCAGTTGGCCATCAGCTTCTGCTTGAGTCGAATTGGGGGGAAATTTTGGGGAGCTGCGTTTGGATCACGGCAACGTGACATATTTTCAAAATTGTATAATGCTCGCATTATGGCAGAATCGCACAATTGGATTCGGGAAATGATGAGGGACTGGGCATGATGAGCAAAACGCATGACAGTATCCCTTGTCAAAATCTACGCATTTCAGGAATTTTCAATGAGAACACCAAACAATGTTCGCACAAAAAAATATATAATTATAGTAGTACTGGATCTTAGTACTGGAGTTTGGTATTGTAAACTTTGATATTATTTACCAACATTTTCAATATTTGTGGAAACTATGTTAAATAAGTTTAGTTCAGCACACAGCTGGGCTTACCAATTATTAAATGAATTCAATTATGGTTTAAAAGGCTGGACTCTGGGCTCCATACTCATCAAGCCCGATCAATGAACGCACGCCACATTTGACTAAATTGAGGGCAATCCAATTATCAAAATGTGAGACCATAAGTGATATACTTGCAACTATATGGTGATGTAATTACGTGCAAATATTACGCACATAATTGCAAATGGAGAGCGGAGTTCCGGTTCGTTGACAGTTGCAAAGTTTTTGGTAGACACACCATCAAGAGCTCACACAAAGTAATTATGGAAACCACTTGCAACTGCCTGTGAAAACCCCCAAAAAACCTCCTTTATACACATTTATTTGTATATGTAGGCAAATATCTATATGCCTGCGTACACATTTACTTACGAAAGCCACCGTTCGCAAGTGTTTTGCAGGAATGGAATTTGAGTGAGAGCCAACAAGTTTGCCCGGACTCCCTGCCCGTGCGACTCATTATAAGTTACGCTAATCAAGTTGAACGTGCGACCACATTCAGCGGTGAGATGGGGGCGGAAGGGGGGAATGGGGGCGGCTGAAGGATGTGGCAGTAAGTGGGCGTGGCCAGGAACCGGATGCCTGGCAGACGACACCAAAGTGGCTGCTTTGAGAGCTGAAGAAAGGAAATGACAATTCAAATTAAAGACACCAGACCGGGATGTTTTTTTTTTGTGTTTTTGGGAGAGGATGCTAAAATCCAGTTGTAGTTGAATGGGGCTAGATGGAAAATGGGCTGGCTGGGCATAAGCACGCCCACCACTCGCATTGCCACTTAACATGAAATTAATTATGAAACTTTTGTGCAAAATTTTGTTGAACGAGTTGAAAAGTCTTCAATGCTGCTGCTCGACAGCGCAATAAGTAGGGGCAAAAGGAGTTGGCAGCAGGGGCGGGAATCAGGCAGTAAGTATGTGGCCGGTAAAAAAGTTAACGGCGATGAGCATGGGAAATTAAGTACACGCCACGTGGGCCACAAGTCTGCTGGGGACAGCGAAGGGTTGGGGGCTCTCGCGGTGCACGTTTGTGTCTGCGTTTGAGTTTCTGTCGGAGTCGGGTGTGTGACCACAGCGAGTAAGGAGCAGCAGGCGCAGGATTAGGAGGAGCAGGAGCAGGAGCAGGACGAGGAGCAGGAACTGAAGCAACAGCGAGTGCAACTAAGCGTCGCCCGGAAATGAGCAGGAAAAACGAACTCAGGGCGCTGCACAGTGGTACGAGGTGAAAAGTTTGATAGGGCCACTAGACAGGTTGGTAAATAAATTCGTCTCAGAGAAATCAAACTTTGTTTCTTAACATTTTTTTATAAATTAAATGTTCGCTTTCTCTTAAAGCTATCTAAGTAAATGCTAGACTTTCGTACCTTGCCTAGGATTAACTTGATGCAATATGATACAAATTTAGTTTCCTTTTGTATATACCCAAGGTAGTGTATGGTGAGTGTGCAGAAATGCAAATGCTAGTTAGCATCGACACTTGTCACCCTATATACGAGTTTCCCCGCGGAGGCTGCAATTAGGCTGCGTTGCAATCACGAAGGGAAAGGGGCGGCAAATGCCGTGGAAGTGGCAGCCGCGTCAGCAGCAAACCGGAAACGGGCCCAAATAAGTATGCAACGAACTTTTTCAGCGCCCTCGACTGGCAAACTTTTGCAGCAACTGCAACTGCGACTGCGACTCCGCCTTGCGTAAAAAGGAGGCGGCGGCGCCCCAATTGCTGGCATGTAAGTTGTTTTACTTCAAATTTTAATTATGATTTAATGCTAAAATACGGAAATAATTTGCGCCAACAACGTTCGTCGCCGCAACTCAAGCTGCACGACTGCGAGGCACATGGAGTCGCTCCGCCCGAGTAATTCCATTTCATGGGTCGGCAAACGCGGTCACCATTCTCTGTTTAGGCGTATCGGGGAAACCATATATACACCGCTCCATAATCGGACTATTTCCGCAGCCAGGCTTGTTAGCCACAAATTACTTTCCCGAGCAGACGGACAATATATTATTACTTTAAGTTCATTATGTTTGATGGCGCAGACAATCAGTGATTAACTTTTTAATCTGTCTGTATCGGTGTTTTTACAATATTTTAGGGCCAACTTTAATTAAGTTGTAGAGCCATTCCTCACAACAAAATCCTTTGTCCAATTTAAGGGGCATATAAAAACGATTGCCCCAAATATGTGTCTTCGCACGCGCTTTTGTACACATGTAAATACTTCAGTATGCGCGTTGACATTGCATCGTAAAAATGTGTATTTATTTTCTGTTTATTTGCCGCACAAACAATATATGCAGGAAGTGAATGAATTACCACACGAGTCGTGCCACACAATGTTATCGCACCACCATATATGAATTTATATACATTTGCGTGAGTGCGTGGTTTTTATATGTTTATAGTTCGAGGATTTTCATTTCGTTTCGGTTTTTTTCGTTCGGCAACATTTAAATGCACTTTTATTACATTTGCTCAAACAAATTTTTATTGTCGAGCAAAGAAAATCGCACAAAAACATAAAACTAAGCTGTTCACAGATTTCGTTGTACAAGACAAGCGAAGTTTATGGAGGGTGGATAATGTACATATGCTCGTATAAAGTTCCGAAATGCCAATGCCATTTGAATTTTAGTATTTGAGTAGCACATACTGGTGATAAGCAAAAATAGTTTACATGGAAAATACTTGGGACTAGTAAAGCATATTATTAAATTAAGGTTTAAAGAAACAGTAGAACATATCAATATTTACTCAAAAAATCAAGTTTGGCATTTAATGCCCGATTTACAAAGAATATTTTTCAAAACAGCCAACAATTAGGAAACAATAAATCTATTGTCCCATAAATCTTATAAAAAGGTGTACTCACAGTGTTTACTCTTCTCGGCGGCCACCTGGCTGCCTGGCGTCTGGGCGAGAATGGCGAGGAGTCCGACGAGGATTAGCAGCCACTGGGGAATGCCCGAGCCCGAACTTTGCCTCTGGGTTAGGGTCCCTGACGGCCGGTCCCTGACCGCCGGTTCACCATCATCTGCCGCTCGCCTGGGGATGCGGGAGCGGGTGGGGCAGGAGGGGGAGAGCGTGGGCAAGGACGTGGGGCCGAGGTCAGTGGGTGGACCCGGCCCACAGGATGTGGGCATCAACAGCATCGCCGAAGCCTCGGTGGCTCAATTTTCGTGGCTTTCGCTTCTGCTTTTTTGGGCTGCCTAAAAAGTTGGCTTCGCTTTTGTTCGCTCGCGTTGATTTCTTGTCGCGTTTGTCATTCTCCGGCAATTAGAAGCTTTCATTTATGAATTTTCCTTCTCCCGAATGTGTCGCCTCATTGGAGATTAACGGGTTTCAGCCAGCGTTCCAATCTCACTCTGCAAACAAAAAGTGCATTTAGTAGGGAAAAAGTGCTATTTGGTGTCTGACAAAATTGCCAAAGCATTTGGCAACAGCTTGCGGCCAACGGATGATAATGGATAATGGTCGGTGAAATTAATTCTCCACTGCTATGACAATTCTGTACTTTCATTTGGGGAAGCCAACGAATTATATTGCTAACTGGCTTTAACTATTTTCTTTAAGAGTTCCTTTAGTTGTGCTTTTTTCCTGAGAGTATACGGGGATTTCAAAGTAAGATATCTTATAATCTGATTACATTTACATACTCCCTTTCAGCTTAATCCCACATCGCAAGGCCCACTGCCTTGGGTCAATATTTGGAAGCATTAAGACATCTCATAAATCGAGGCAATCAATGCATAAATTTAGCCGCTGGGAATGCAGGAGCATTGGCTCGCACTCAGAAGTGCATGTAAAGTGAAATATTACGCATACGCAGTGTGGATGGGTTTATCATGGCAGCACAGGCCATGAATACATTGTCGCCCCATGCAGATGCCACCCCCACACAAAAAATAAAGGACTTGTGGGCTGGTGCTAAAATGTAATAAGGAGCTGGCGTTGATTCCCAAGTACTGCCCAGCTGCTCCACTTTGTTCCTTATCCGCTGGGAAATGGAAAACTGCAAAACGCCATGGGGCTTCGGTTGCAAGTTTATCACACTTAGAGATCGTCGCCAGCTGCTCCACATAAAGCGAAATAATAATGAGAAATCACAGGCAGACTGCAAAAAAAATGCAACATATACATATATATCACTGGGACACATCCATGGACTCCATACATATTCCCTTATACACTTCCACAGTGGAATGGAACTAGGACCCGCAGCCAAATCGGAGGACTTGGCCAGTGACCGTGTCACACACATTCTGGCGTCCTGACATCCAGCCAACGCTCCAATTTTGTGTTTAATTAAATCTGATTATGGCTTTTCACTTTGTCCTCCTTTGCGAGCCACTTTTTCTCTGTGCCTGGCATCCCCCACGGATGCCTTCGCTTACAGCCAGGTCCCTTGATAAATTTAATTTCTATAAATTCCAATGCCCAGCCAACATCTTGATTTTATGTTAGACGAGGGGAACAGAGAAGAAATAGTTTAATTTCAAAGTAAGGAGTTCAATTTATCTAGCAATTGACACGAAATATGTATAGATACTTTGTATCTATCTGCATTCATAACTTAAGCTATAGCTGTTTCTGAAAACTGCTAGAATGTAATGGAAAAAGCGTATTAAGCTAAAGCAAACAAAAATTACTCGGCAAAACTTTTAGTGATTAAAGCTCGATGTGTATCCAAACTTTTTACGAAACAGCAAACAATTGAAGACAAGCAACAAAATGTTGGGCAAGGAAAACTACAATTAATAAAATGCCCAAGCGAGGAAATCCAGCTACAGCGATTCGCTTTTCAGGAAAAACACACACACATACACACACACACATCAGTGACCTAATATTCACACTTGCACACAAGTGTGCACATAAAAGGAGGTGTATACGAAATACAGGAACATGTATTTCCATGGCTGCTATTTTCCTTCTTCGTTTTCTTTTTTTTTGTGTTATTGTCCTGGCCGCCATGGCAACCAATTTTCTGGGCAGTTGAGAAAATCGCTCTCGAAAGGACATTAGAGGATACATTTTGCCAGTTAGCGACGACCGATTCCGTGCGTAGCGAAATAAAAGTTTACGCTTTGATTGCCCTCTAATTTACAAATTCGTAAATCGGAAAATACAAATCAAAGCGAATAATTTTTACTTGGCATAGCTGTTCCACAGTGAAATGGTGTGTGGCAAATGTGGGGGAGTGGCGGGAATGCGAAGCCGCATAAATTACCAGCACTAGCAGTTCAACACAAAGAAGGCTGGAACGCAACAAAAGCCGCTTTGCCGGGCTGCGGCTCCCTGGAAACATGGCCAACAGTTCCGACAGGAACAATAACAGTAACAACAGCTGAAACTATGGCCAAAATGGCCAACACGACGTAACTGTGAAGAAAAATTAGGCGACATACAATTAATGGCCCTGTGGGGTTTCATCGTCAAATCGCTTTGGAGCCCACATTCGTGGGGATTTTTTTGTTTTTATTTATTTTTGTTGTACTTTCTGGATATACAATCTTTTGTTTGATTTTGATGCCCGAGTGCGTCCTACTATTTACCATATTCTATGGAGCTTTTTCAGCATGGCAAAACAAAAGGATTTGGATGTAATGATAATATGAATGGAAGGTTTTCTATGCGGAAGTTGGCGTTCCCTGTCAGATTCATTATTTTTGGGCACACAACAAATCATTGTTAATGGCGATTTGTCATTAGCTTTTATTGAGAAACTCTTATACAAAAATGTTTGAGAATGCATTCAAGAAAATGCTGATAGATAACATCCTGCACCAGTAGTCATGCAACTTGTACATATTTTAACTTAAATATTTACTTTTTACTAAATATTTAGCACATTAACCCATTACACAATTTGAAAACAGTTTAAGGGTAGTTGTATACGCTGCATTTTACTGGGTTTCACAACTTCTTTTGGTGACTTTATAAATATTTATGCACAATGCATGACATTAAATCCTGTTTGCTCCACACCTGAACCATTTTCGACAGCGCAGTAAAATCGCACAAAAAACGCTCACTTTGGCTTTCAGTAAATACGACGCAGGAAAACTTTGGCAGTGGGGGCGGTAAAAGCAGTGGCAACAATGGTCGAAAGGGGGAGTTTCGCAGGGATACCCTTTGTTGTGATGTCCTGGGGCTGAAATCGCACGGGGAGCATTCGCCGACACCTCGACAACACACACAATGCAAATGTATTAACTGCAGGACGTTATAAACAAAAGAAATTACGTTATGGCGGCGAAGTGTTTTATGTTGGCAACACTTCGCCAACACCCGCCATCAAATGCGAGCGGATTTCGCATATTTCTCCACCCGCCTACACAAAGAGAAAAGAGACTACCACATCACAATATCGTAAGTAAAATAGTTTGGAACAAACTTCTTAACTAGGTTAACTAAAAACGAGAATACACTTTCTTTGGCTCGTGCTCGTCATAGTAAAAAATTGTAGTGATAATATTCCTCCGCTTTTTCGTATCTTTAGCGGGGCCATTGCTATAACCATTTCTCTTGGTGCATGCATGTTTGCCAACCGCTTTTCACCGTCTGTCCGTCCCTGGCCTCGAGTGTCCGTCCGTGTCCGTGTCCGTCCGCATCCGCATCCGCATCCGCGTCCGTGTCCGTTAGTCTCCGTCCGCGTCTGACTCACGTCTGCACGGGGCATGTCTATTTGTCTGCTGAATACGGAACCGGGCTGCCAACAGCGACAGCAGCAACAACAACGGCAGCTGGAACAGAAACACGTCACTATGGGTAAGTGCAGTCGTGCTCCACGGCGTATGAGTAATTTCTGTGGCATGAGGCGGTGCTTTTTCGGAGCGGCAAGGAGATGGCCGCATTGTTTTGGCCATCGCTTTCGCTTAGCTCTTTTGTGCGGAACATGCTTGCGTGTATTTTTGAAGTCATTTTCTGCTGCATTTAGTCCTTTTATGGGTTTTCCATGATGTGTCTACAGGATCATTTTACAATGGTTCCTTGCACTTAAATTGCACATTTTTTGAAAATCAAGCGGGTTTATACGGGCTCTGCGCTACAATTTAAAGAAATTCCAGCTGCATTTAAAAAGCCAACCATTTTTTATTTAATCCGTTACTCAATCAGTATACTTTAAATCATTGTAAAAGATGCATTTAAAAGGGCCTGAGCTATTTTTGAAATACTTTTTCCATTTTGAGCTCCACAAATAGCTTTTATGGAGTGTTAACAAAACCCTTCACTCTGCCACTCACGATGCCCATTTCCTTAAGCTCCAAAAGTGCCAAATCATGAGATTGCGCTGCCATGGCGATTGCGATGACAAACCGTGAATGTGGCGGACTGTGGGTAGGATGGAGCCTAGGACATGGCTTGAAGAACGGGTGCTGACAAGAAACCCTAACGAGTGACAGCTGAGACAATCCCAAGACGCAAAAACCAGCCACAATGATGACAAGAGCAATCGGAAGCCGAAGTACGAAAAAATCAAAGCCCTCGATTTGCCTTTCGGCCAAATCCCAGCGACAGATTAATGGTGGGGACCAGACCGGGGCAAAAGTCCACGTCCAAGAGCAGACAAGAAACCGCAATCGCAATCAAATTTATTTATTTATTTTTATGTTTAGCCGTTGGCAGTTTTCTCATTTGTGCCCAGCGCAGCACATAAGCTGACAGCCCCATCAACTTGTTTTCTCCTTCGGTGGGGCATTGGGGGTATTCAGGGGTGGTTCCAAAGGGTCGAGGTCAGGCTAATGATTAATACGCCTGGCTGGTCCAGGCACTTGGAGTGGCGTGTCCACCACAACAGCACAGTAGCGTTCTTCTGCTCTGCGGTGCAAATGAAACTATTTGGAATTTCCCTATCTCGAAAAAAGTTTGTGAGAGTCAGCACTTAAATTAAGTGGCTTTATTTTAAATAAAATATGATATCCATTCAAATAGCTTAAGTTTATTCAAAGAAATAAGCAATAAAAAATATGTACTTGAAAATATTTACAGATGAGCTCTGTTGGCTACAGTTATAGTTGTTTAGTTAGTTAGGGTCTTATTGATAAAGCCGCTATTATATTCAAACAGACTTGTAAAGGTTTTTGTGACTTGTTATCCACTAGCGTGCCATTTAGGGAATCCTGACTGTTTATTGCATGGGCCCCTCGAGTTGTGGCAGGGATTACGCTTTGCAGTGAGAACTACTGGGCTTTATGGAGTGCGGACAGAAATAAATCACCTGTCGGGGAGTCTTGGCTAAGACCTGGTCGAACAAAAAATATAAATTAGAAAATCCAAAACGGAGGGGGCTGTGGGGCAAGCAACAGAATAATCCTCCATTACCACACTTCCTGACCTGACCCTGGCATGTGCGAGTGTGTGTGTATGAGCGAGTGTGTGAGTGTGCTTGTATGTTTGTGTGTTCGATGGCACTACTTTCACACATTCGCCTGCTGTTATAGTATGTACTCCTGCACACGCACACATGTACACACATATAAGCCAGGGATATGCGTGAAGGACCTTCGCCATCGACCACACCACAGCAACGTGTGAGCGAACGAGACAACAGCATTAACAGAAGTCCTTGTGCGCTCACAGTGACAGCGAGAGGGAGAGTGAGAGGGAGACAGGGAAGGCTCTCGCAAAGAGAGCACAAGAATACTACTCGCTCGTAGTACTCGCAGTCGGGGGCGTAAAATGTGTAAAACTCAACTTGACGGCTCCGTTTTGCGGCTCTCTGATGAATGAGATTAACCGGCGAGCCAGAAACCACCCTCTTTTTGGGCCTCGCGACAAATGAGTGCAAATGACCTCAACACAGGACGGGGAATACGGTAGCAGCAACCCTCGATCCTGTTCCCATTCCCGTTACCGTTCCCGCTTTTCTGCTCCTTTTAAAGCGGTGCCCATCCGCAACACTCGTCCTGTTTTTTTTGGCATTTTAACGACACACTAACTGAATTTATTATGCACTTGGCTTGCGTTGTTTATTGATAATTCTATAAAATTCCAGGCAGTCGCCTCTTGTTTAATCGCATGATATTTTCGCATACCATACCGAGCTACTCACTCAATCAATTAATCACTTCAAATGCACAATTGAACCATCCACTGCGTGTAGTATGAAATATCCAGCGTGTAGTTAAGCAAATTAGCTTTCTATATAAATTGAATATTAAGTTTCATTTTTAGTAATTTCACACAATTGCGGGTGTTGCACAGCGCGACGAGAAGCTCCTCACTCAACGTTTCAACTGCGACTGTGACTCGTTTGTGTTTAGTAGCGAATATTTCGGCGTCTCGCCTTAAACTTTTACCTTCAAGCACTCGTCGCCGAAAGCTAACAGCTAGAGTTAACAGCTGTCAGCAAGTGGACAACCCCGCTGTTAGGCTTATCGATTGCCAAGCCGTGTGCGAGCGAGATGGCAATGCAGCTCCACTGAGACTCCAAAAAAAGGGTGGACAGCTTTGATATTTAACTTAGCGAACGGAAAAGTTGATTGTTTGTGTTATTATCACTGCGAGTTCAGCGCACTTAATGCGGTCTTGTATTTCCGTTGTATTTGTTTATATATCGAACGCACTGGCTAGGCACATATTTTTCAAACGAATCATTGTGGTAACCGGAACGCAGCGAAGTTGACGGCGGACTGAAGCCGGCGCCTTTGGTGGTAGAAAAAACCTGCCACCTAAAATCAACCACCCCATGCGGCACGCTCTCTTTGCACACATTGCGAAACTCCCCCTATTTTCTGTCACTCTCTCCCTTAGGCACAGTTCACTGTACTCAAATTTGGCGCCCTGTTAGTGAGAAATTCGTGTTCTAAGTGTCAATAATTTTAATTTGTAACATAGAGTAAAAGGGTATACTAGATTCGTTGAAAAGTATGTAGCAGGCAGAAGGAAGCGTTTCCGACCATATAAAGTATACATATGTACATACATATGTACATAGTCTTGATCAGGATCAATAGTCTGTCAGGATCGTCTGTCCGTCCGTGCTTCCAGAGAAATAGATGCAGCGCAAGTAATGTTTCTGGCGCAATTCTCTAAAAATCTGCATTCAAATTTAGAAATTTATTTTTTTTTAATTTTTTTGTTATTTTTCTGATGTGATAATGTAGGAATTCCAAAAAATTAAAAAATGTCCCAAGGCTGAAGTTCTATACTCCATAACTCAACTTATCTTAGCGGATTTCGAAATAGCATACCTCCAAATGTTTCTGGCGCAATTCTCTAAAAATCTGCTGGGGAACTCGAATATAGCATTCTATCTTGTTTAGAAATTTATTTATTTATTAATTTAACTTTGTTCTACATATGTAATTGTAATATATGTAATTTTAACTTTCCCTCGCGTTTCATTCACTCGTAACTGACAAATATAAAATATCCAAGTACAATAATAATGCATAGTATTTTTCCAACTGAAACATCTTACTCAGATGCACAATGCTGGATGTAAGATACCCCTATTTAAACTCTAGCTAAAAAGGCACTGAAAAATGGGTGGGTGGAGTCGTGAGCTCTTATCAGATGGCAAGTGTAACATGAGACTGGTGCGTCTGCTGTCTGGACTTGCCTTGGAATCAAATCGATTCCGAAGCCGCACCACCCCAAATACTACTATCGATGAGTTGGCGCGCAAAAGGAGCCGTGTCCTGTAATTTGTCGCCGCGCGACAGTGACGCAAAGTGCCTGTCAGTCTGCCACGGCCACCCACAAAGGTTGCTCCCCCTGAATCCTGGACAATTTAATTATACCCGAAGACGGAGCGCAGACGGAGTCGGCTTTAAGGTAACCGGAGCTGGAACGCTCCCTACTTTCCGACGCAGTCGAGCCTAAGCGCCTACGTCAGAAACATCAGAAAGAGCAGAAACACGCGTTTTATCTCGTAATTAAATTTAAATGGGATAACTTTGTGGCCGGGAGTCACTTCCGTACCACAAAGAAATTAGCGAGTGTCTGGCCTTTGCCACGCGAAAACACACCAGATAGCCGGCCTGAATTATAATGGGCAGACGACTTAGTTGATAATCGCGTTTCATAGGACTGTTTATGATTTCAGTTCTATCAACTAGTTTATTCCTTCCCTACAACTGAACAACAATGATCCGAATTACTTAAGAATAAGTGTGGAAATACCATGTGCAAATAGTTTATATGTACTTTATTCGTTTTGTAAATCCTAGGCAGACAGAGTAATTTATTGAAGACATCAACTGGCTAGGTCGTTTTAGAGTTTGCTTGTAACTTTTGGTTCAGTAACCAGTAAAACGGAATAATACAAGTAATTTTACCCATCAACCCATTGTATAATTATATTCAAAACCCTTTCACCAAAATTCTAAACCTAGATTAAAGATCGTTACTCTTATATGTATGTAAGTAGTTCCAGTGCTCAGGTCACCTTGGCCAGCCGCTGGTCAATGCATTTCTGACTTCGAAGGTCAAACCAATTTCCCGGACTGCAATAATGCAAAACCGCTTTTCCCTTCAAGCAAACATAATACTTGTTATGCTGCTTCGCGTCTCCAAACCGTGTATCATCTTTCACTGTGGTGCAATCCGGTACTCCCTTCGCTAGTAATGCCTCATCAGCTGCCGTATCAGCCGGAGATTCCTCTAAGGAGCACTGAACCAGGATTGGGTAGTTACAAATGTTTAACTTTATGTCAAAGTGTAGACCCCGGGGACACTGTCGTGGTATAGCCCGTCCATTGGCACAAACATAAAACGTGCTGCATGACTGTGGATCTCTAACAAAGGCGCCATTTCGCAAGGACTTACAGTCAGGAGTCGATCCTGTGTCCGAGGGCTTCTTTGTAACATTATCTACGGCGTCATCGAGGGAGCAGTTCACAAAGCTGGGAAAATTACAGACCTTCCTCGTAATGTCGAAGTACAGATTTCTGGGACACTGGCTGGCAATTGCTTTGCCATTCAGGCATACATAGTATTTATTGCATGACTGGGAGTCCCGGAGAAAGACTCCATCGGACATGTTGCTGCAATCAGCTTCTTGATGGCCAGGGGTCGTTCCAGTTGAGGGATTTAAAGTTGAGGTTTCAGTGACAATACCCTCGGTCGAATATTCTGGAGTCGGTTGGGGGGTATACGAACTTGTGGAGCTCTCTGTTGGTGGATCGGACGGTCGTGTAGTCGCGCCTTCAGGTGGAGATTCCGAGGTAATGCTTCCGGAGTCGCCACCATTTCCTGGAGTACTTGGAGAAGCTTCTGAGCTTGAGGGAATATCGGTGGTATATGGAGATTCCGTTGTGGAAGACCCACTGATTCCGGAGTCGCCACCATTTCCTGGGGTACTTGGCGAGGATTCAGAGGTCGAGGGATTCTCGGAACTGGTAATAGATTCCTCTGTCGAACTTTGTGGAGATGATTGGGTCGATGACGAATTTTCCGAGTTCTCAGTGGTTGACGATTCTGATGTGGACGGATTTTCCGAGCTTGATGTACTTTCAACAGTTGAGCTTTCAAATGATGGACTTGTAAATGAGGGAAGTTCTTGCGTCGAAGTATTTGGTGAAGGCTCTGTTGGCGAAGGCTCCTCTGGCACTCCTGTTGATGATTCCGTAGAAGAAGGACCTTCAGTGCTAACACTACTTTCTTCTGAAGCTTCTGTTGAAGAAGACTCATTGGTCGCTCCTGTAGATGATTCGGTAGTCAAAGAACTTTCGGTGCTTAAGCCACTTTCTTGGGTCGTACTATCAGGTATAGATTCTGTTGACGAAGACTGATCCGTCACTTCTGTCGATGATTCAGTGGGCAAAGGACTTTCAGTGGTACTTTCTTGGGTACTATCTGGTAGAGATTCTGTTGACGAAGACTGATCCGTCACTTCTGTCGATGATTCGGTGGGCAAAGGACTTTCAGTGGTACTTTCTTCGGTCGTACTATCAGGTATAGATTCTGTTGACGAAGACTGATCCGTCACTTCTGTCGATGATTCAGTGGGCAAAGGACTTTCAGTGGTACTTTCTTGGGTACTATCTGGTAGAGATTCTGTTGACGAAGACTGATCCGTCACTTCTGTCGATGATTCGGTGGGCAAAGGACTTTCAGTGGTACTTTCTTCGGTCGTACTATCAGGTATAGATTCTGTTGACGAAGACTGATCCGTCACTTCTGTCGATGATTCAGTGGGCAAAGGACTTTCAGTGGTACTTTCTTGGGTACTATCTGGTAGAGATTCTGTTGACGAAGACTGATCCGTCACTTCTGTCGCTGATTCGGTGGGCAAAGGACTTTCAGTGGTACTTTCTTCGGTCGTACTATCAGGAATAGATTCTGTTGACGAAGACTGATCCGACACTTCTGTCGATGATTCGGTGGGCAAAGGACTTTCAGTGGTACTTTCTTGGGTACTATTTGGTAGAGATTCTGTTGACGAAGACTGATCCGTCACTTCTGTCGATGATTCGGTGGGCAAAGGACTTTCAGTGCTACTTTCCTGTGTCGTACTATCAGGTATAGATTCTGTTGAAGAAGGCTGATCCGTCACTTCTGTCGATGATTCGGTGGGCAAAGGACTTTCACTGGTACTTTCTTGGGTACTATCTGGTATAGATTCTGTTGAAGAAGGCTGATCCGTCACTTCTGTCGATGATTCGGTGGGCAAAGGACTTTCAGTGGTACTTTCTTGGGTACTATTTGGTAGAGATTCTGTTGAAGAAGATTCATCTGTCGCTTCTGTAGATGGTAACTCTGTGTAGATGGAACTTTCTGAGCTTGACCAACTTTCTTGCGTCGAACTTGAGCTTTCAGAGCTCAAGATTATATCTTCTAAAGAAGCTTCTGTAGACAGAGAAATGTCAGTGCTTGAACGGCTTTCTAGTGTGGAACTTTCTTGTATCGATTCAGTGGATGCATCATCTTCCGGCACACCTGTGGAGGATTCCTGCGTCGAACTTTCTGTTGCACCTTCAGGTGGAGAATTTGGATCTTCAGAGCTGGATATCATCTCTCTAGCATTATCCTGCGGTATTGGACTGGGAGTTCCAACAGCACTGTTAAATAATTGGAAGTCCGCAATCGGTTTGGGTTTCAGGGGCGAAGGTGTCGTGTCATGAGAGCTGCCCCAGAGACTGGCGAAGAAATTGAAGTTTCCGAAAATGTTGAATATAACTGGTCTGTCCACGTTGATATTTTGCTTGATGCTGATTTTCTGCTTATCATCATCTGATTCTTTGATTGCTAGTTTTGCATTGTCGTTAATCACACACCCCTGCGATTGCCCATCAAACAAGTATCCATTCTTGCAGGTATTTTTTATAGAGCCAAGGACACCGAGGCACAGGTAATATGATTGGGTATCATCGGAGTCGACAGCTCTGGATCCAAACGATTGCCCCGCACAGAAGTCCTTTCCCAGGGCCTGGGGAAGGATCCAAAGAAAAGCCCATAGGACTCTCACTGAGAAATAATACTGATTAAATATCCGTGGGGCTTTCAAATTTCAATATAACGTACCGACTAGCATTTTAAAAGCACATTAAAGATACAATGCAACGGAGTAGAAGAATTTCTTTGTTTTTATACCTTAAGTTTCGCCGAAACGCAAGATAACAATCTCAAGTGGAATATGTAAGTAAAATTTTGAGTAAAAATATTTTAAATAAATTGGACACTAAACAAAGCTGAGTGGTTATCGTGTGTTACAAATGTTCCGTAATGGAGTGGGCAAAACATGGGCAATACAATTCTAAATAGCGAAAACAACATACTTATTTCTAGGAAAACCTTCTTTCAAGAAACCAAAAATTCATTGTGGGTCAAAATAGATATGATAATAATACTTTAAAAATCTTGTTAAGCTCCTTAGCACATGGCAATCTATCATTTAAAAGAGCTCAGTAAGGAAATTTCATACAACAACCTACTCAAAGATCATGATTAGCGATTATATTGTCTTGTGATTGTTCCCCTAATCTGAAAGCATAATGGGGCTGTCAGCAAGCCTTTATCGCGGCTCACCTTGCGCGGACGCCAATGTCGACCGTTGGAGGCCTGCGGGCGATAGTGTAACGGCTGCCACAACCCACCCCACGCCCCCTTGGGGCGAAACCACCGCCTACCAGCTGGCTGGCAACCCACACCAACCGCCACCCACCGTCCCTCGGCGGCCAAACATTTCCGATTAGTTGTAGAGATAACAGGGCCGTCTCAGCACTTATCGTGCCCGTATTCTTGCAATGATTACCCGAAACCCGGGTGCACTTGCTGTTGTTGTTGCTTTTGGGGGAGGGCGGGACAGGTGGGCGGTGGGCGGTGGGCGGTGTCACTATTTTTAGAGCGATAGAAAGCTCTGGGCGGCAAGCTCCGAACTCCACCATATAGCAGTGTTTTGGCCCGCACTCTTATCGTAACTTGTGTGGCTTCGAATGTACCTAGTTGAGGAAGAATCCCATGTCGGATTTTGTTACCTCTGGTATTCGAGCCAATAAGTTCGGCCACGAATTCGCATTTTATCTTTTGAATATTTATTATTTTCGATTTTTTTTTTTTTTGTTTCTTTTTTTTATTCATTTTTAAATTGCCTGCAGCGTATGTTTTTGGCCAGTGCACGGGGTCACTCGCACCCACTAAATTTGGCGTCATTTTGAATGTCCGTACGTTCGCTAGCACTGATATCAGTGAATTTTACTGCCAGGTTCTCTGCGAGGTTTACCACTTGGCCAACCAACAAGAAATTAATGCAGTCTGTTTAATTTTGATTTAAGTGGCCTTAAATCGGTTTGCCTATCGGAAAGTTGTGCTTGTTGTGCCAGACCCGCGATCTCCTGACAATAAATACGTTGTCATGCTTATAGGGCAGGGTAATCTTTCTTTTTTAAATTACATAAAAAAAAGGAAAAATGTTCTATAACTGGTGAAATCCTTGGAAATCATTTCCTGTAACAGCACACTGCAAAAAGAAGAATAAATGCCATGCCAGGGCCTTTCTTTCACATAATAATAACATGCATTTGACATAAGATAGGATGTATCTGGTCAATCACGCCGGCAAGAAAATCCAGATGAATTTGCATATTGTGGAAAATGCTGCAATGGATTAGAGTGGTCTCGAAACTACACATTTGAGTGCTGAGGAAACCGGCATCTCCGGGCAAACTGCATTTGGGCCGGTGAGCCGAGCACTAGCTCATCCGTTAGCTAACGAGACCATTCCAAACACGATAACGATCAGGAAAAGTGCACATATCAAGCTGGAAACTATAAGCTTATAGACAAGACCACCCAACCTCGGCAGGGTCTTCCCTTGCAAATGCAGTCCCTATAATCAGCCGGCTATCACTTCAGCAGCGATAAGCGTGCAGTAGATTAAAAGCGACTCGAATTCGAGTTGAGATTGGATCACAAACAAAATAAATTCGACTTTAATTGCAAGGTGACAGAGACTGGAGTCTAGCTGCTCATCTCCTCCACCGAGTCCATGGACCTGTACTGCTCCCTCTGCAGACGATTGCCATAGGTGCGCGACACCAGATTCCAGGCGTCCATGAAGCGATCCATGCACTGCGAAATGCATCGCTGCTCGGTGGTGTCCAGTGATTTGCCCGGCTTCTGGATGCACTTCTTGAAGCACTTCTCCGTCATCTTCGAGAGCATCTCCTGGGCGTTGGCCAATGCGATCTGCTGTTTCACCTGGCTCATCAGCTCACCCTTCTCCATTTTGGCAGCCGCCATTCCGGTCCTTGCTGGTTAAACAATTTAAATTTATAATCTCCTAAATTCTGAACGCTTTATGCTTGTTGAGGTCCAAACAGAGGAAACTCGGACAGAAGGAACACAGCTGACTGTTTCTCAAATATTATAATCCACCAGAAAATAATTTATATATTTCTCAACAAAAATTTTGCGATCATTTAGATTCGTTTTAATTTTTAAATGGAAATAGCATACTCAGCAGACTTAAAATCAAACTTCATTTGGTTTATGAATTTGTTATGCTCATATATTTGTGCCAAAAGTGATTACCGCCAGATAAAATTTCAACACTTACAGAAATTACAAAATTTGACCTAACAATTATAATTTTATGAAAACATTAGATACGTCATAGATAGTTTTGATTCAGTATCGAAATACTATTTCAAATTCTCAGGCAGATGTAGCTCTTTAATGTTTTTTTCTCTATAAAAATATAATCTGTTGCTTGCGGCATGTGATCTTATTATATATTTTACAATATTCGTTTAATTTGTTAAGACACTTTTAGTTCTTGTTCTCTCTGGTAGAAATTTCTTGTTCTCTATATCTTTGTAAATTTGTTGTCATCAGTTAGGAGTCGCTCGTTGACCCAGACACTGAGAGCCATTTGGTGAATGTCAAATGGGATATTAAATACATTTACAGATAAAAACAGAAAGCATATATGCCTGTGCGGTTTTCTGCTTACTTTACTTTACTTTAAGTAATTAGAAACGCGTAGAAAAAGTAGGTAATGATATATTCTTCGTGCAATTTATAATTTTAGATATTACAGTACAGCGACTTAGAGGGTTTTTAATAATCTCTAATAGAATAATAGCCATAATACTGAACTTTTGTTTAACCACTTCAAAAGAACATTTACCAGGTGCCGACAACAGAATGATTCAAACTGACAACTACCAATATATTTCATTTTCTGCATTCCCAAGGTGCACAATAAAATTGATTGATTTTTAATGTTATACGATTCAAATCCAAATGTAAATAGAGGAAGCATGTGCAAAGTTATACTTTATAGTTATAATTACAATTAGATGTCCAAAGAATGTTTTTTGTGGTCGTTATAAAATATTTACATCTGAGGCACACATTTTACGAAATAATACTACTACTGTTAGTTAAGTTATTTATAATATTGGTATATGGAATGTACAATCACTTTGAGTACGTAAGTATTATTGCGATCGAAAGAAGACAGGCACAAACATATATTAGTATTGCATTATCCTAGGCCTGATTGTCGGTAGGCAGGGTGTCCCAAGGGGTTCAGAGCTCTTCCCTCGGATCTGGTCAGTTCCTGGGCACCGAGCCCAGACGATGCCAGTCGACGAGCTCTTGCCGCAGATCGTGCTTCGATAGATCCAACTCGAAGCCTCCAAGGAGCTCGTTTTCCTGCAGCGTGTCGTGCGACCAAACCGTAACCTGAAGGCGGCGCTCTTGAATAATATTCAGTGGCATTCGGTACTCCAACTACAAGGAAATATATATGAATTAGAGCGATATTCCGGGAAGATGAGTTCTTCTTCTTACCGTTTCCATGAAACTGGGCACACAGGTCTTGCGCACCACTTTGGTCTTGCGTTTGGTCTCCTTTTTGGGATCCGGTTTTAGGTAGCACTTCACATAAGTGTTGGGCTCCTGACCGCCCTGTAACATGGGCAGTCCTTTGGCGTGGTGTATCTGCAATGCATATATCCTCCATTAGTATTGATCAAAACAGGTTTATCTTAAGCCACCCACCATCACAGTAAGTACGCCGCGTTGATATTGCAGCGATAGTCGTATTTGGCCAATCTCGTTAGGATTATCCCGCGACGGTTGTCGCTTCACCTCTGCAAAATCCATATATTCATTTAGAGTGCAATTCAATTGGGAAGTTGTACATCGAAATTTACCCTTTATCTTCTGCATCTCCAGCTTGGCTTCCTGCTGATCGCGCAGCAGCGGATGGAAGAATGTGTAAACGAGCTCGGAATGGGCTATTTCCTCGGACGCATCGAACAACGATTTCAAAAATCGCTGTATAAGAGGTAGTCGTTTTTCTGCCACAGATTTGATGTTGGAACGCCCCACATGCACGCCAGCCGGGAGACTTAAATAAATTGACAACATTCGAATTAAAACGTTAGTAACCTTACGATTACCAAATCATAAGCAAATGATGATATCCCAAAACTGTTGCTTACATTATAAACAATTCGGATTTGATTACCAAATTATAAGCAAATCTGTGATCCCAAAGCTGTTGCTTACACTATAAACAATTCGGATTTGATCCGCTGTAATCAATACAAAAGACAGACAGCTTGCTTTTATAATCGAAGCCCATAATTAATTGTTTACAATATCAGATTATACCTAATAACAAGGCGCGTTTTATCGCCCAAGATACGGTTCTGCAGCTGTTAATGGGCCAACTATTATTACATTTCATGGTGTTTACATAGTCAGTGGTTTGTCAAGGTGCGTTCACAAATCATAGGACAAATTCGCGATTGCTTATCACTGCTGGCAGCGCGTAGCCCCCGAAGACCATGTCGCTGAGGTAACACCGCTAATAGCTGATAAATCGACGAATGAAGCGAACTGATTCCACCAAATCGGAGAATCCGCGAACCGGAGAGCCCGAGCGTCCGAGAGCCCAAGAGCAGCAGACCCCATATAGCGGGTGAATGAAGAGCGGCCCGAGTAAACGATATCGGGCCGAATCGCTCCGATAAGCGGCGACTACGCTGCCAAAAGCGGTAGCGCCAACGTCAGCGCTCAATCAGTCGACGAGCGAGCTGGGGAGCGGAGCCGAGAGCGGTCCGACTAGCGACGTGGTGAAGTTTCATTATATTTTTGGCCAAAAACAAAGGGCGACTGTGCCAACCAACGACTTTATCCAGAATGCCGAGCCAACAGATTTGCTGGTGAGACAAAACGACATGGCCCAGCTGAAAAATGTGGGCCAAGGTAGGTGGCCGGCAAAGGGATGCCCGCCTTTTACTTTATACCATCCCCTCGTTCCCTGCAGGTCAACAGGCCGTTGTGGTCGGCCCACTGCTCGCCTCGGCCATGTTGCTCATGGGACTGATATTCGCCCTGCTGGGAATCAAGTTCTTTGGCTTCCGGCGGCGGCTGACTTTCGAGCGATCGCAGGTGCAGCGGCAACAGCAGAATCAGCGGAATCAGCAGCAGCAACCGCCGCCACGTTACGCAGCTTTCGAATCCCAGGTGCGTATGCAAATCAAAAGAACTTAACACCCGATGCACGCAGTTAATAAAGGTTAATGTGGTACCGATACCTCCACAACGGGCTATACACATACCATATTCATATGCCTGTATTTACGGCACACAGCGATCCAGCTCTGTGGCGAGTGGCTCTGATAAGGCAGGGCACATACGAATACAAACAGTCGCAGGTGTTGCGTCTGTATGATTTCAGAGAGTGTGTAAGTTGGGGATTGGAGATAGCGATGGGGGCGTGAGGAATGCAAATCGCAGGCTTTCACTTAGTTGGATCTCAGGTAGAACGGGGTTCTTCATTCAAATTCTGGGAATATATGTGCATATGAACGAGGAAAACGGTTGAATGGAACCATTTAATGGTGCGCAACGAGCAGAATTTAAAATACAATTTAAAATCCTATAGGAACAGAGGTAGGGCGCCTTAGCATCGAACTTCTTATAAGCATTATCCATGCTAATACTGGGAGGGTCTAGACATTCACTGAAACTAAAGCAAAAGTGGAAATCTCCCCTTATCACATGGACGTGTTTAATAGTCGCCTGAGCTGGCGTGCCTGTGGCCATGTGTAAACCACTTAGAACTTCCACTGGTGACGCATGCAGGTGATCAGTCCAAGCAGCTGAATCCACAGCTGATGGGCACCATGCTAATACAATTCAGAATATCGTAATAGCCTAAAGTGCAATTCGTGTAATTCACCAGGTAAACGGCACCGATACCGCTGTCCATGGAGTGTTCCGACGTCGCAATCTCGAAGAATTCGAAAGCCCATGGCCATCGGCATCAACAACGACAGGTGAAGATAGCAAACGGAAACCATTCAATTGAAACTACAGTCGAAATACTTTAACTGGAGCGATATTGAATGTTTTGACGACCATTCACTTACGAAGCCATTTTAAAAACAAAATTCTACCCTATCCCATCCTAGGAAACAACTTCATCAGTGGAAGTGTTCCGAATCTGCAAGTATGTGGTGCCAGCCCAAGGGAGCCGAAAAGCTCGAATGAATCACCAGTTTCCTATCGAGAGAGGTCGGAGGCCCTACGCCATCAACGAAAAGAGGTGCACAGTGAGCACTATGAGTTCTACACCGCTCCACCTACCCGCAAGCCACCTTCTCCGCCAGTACAATCACAAGTACTAGCTGAAACTGCCGCTGTAGTTTCCCTACCTAAGATACCAGAATCCTTGGTTACTCCACCTCCCAGGACCACGAGAGCGGCAATTCCTCCAGCCGCCACATCCAACCATTCGGGGTCAGCAGCGTCTGTGGAGGCAATTGCCGAGCCTCCCAACGAGTTGGGAATGCCAAATTTCGACCACTTCGCTGAGAAGTACGAATTGTTCAGTGTAAAACCAATGACTGCGGTCACTAGACCAACACAGCTACGGATCAAGCACAGTGGCCGCTATGTGAAGTTCGAGCCAGTGGATGATGTACCGGAAATTCTCACTCCAGAGGATCCCGTTCCGGAGTTACAGACTCCAGATGATGGTACGGGAGGAGCTATGTCAGTGACAGCTGTTGTCCACAGGGGAGCAATACCCAAGGAAGAACCGGAATCGAAGGAGGAACCGCAAGCACCAAATGATCCCTTCGGCGGATCCAGCCCTACAGACTCACCATTTGTCGTGGAAATCATAGCAGGAAGTCCCGCGGCGGAAGCGACTCCTAGCACACAGACCTTTCAAGATGGCTTATTCGAAAACCTAGAACTACCGCAAGGTGAGCAGGACAGTGATTTCGTGCGGATACGTTCGTCATTCGTGATGAATGAAGCCGACATCCTGGATTTGGATCAGCTGCGGCTGCCGGCGGCCAGTAGTCCACCAGGATTTGGCAAGAGCATCGACGAGGACTGGGAGAACTTTGCCAACCTAGACGCCGTGTTGGAAGTGCCAGAACCCAATTGGTCGCTGCATCCGCATAGCTTAGAGCAAGTGCCCACTGTGGAGACGACGCTAAGTGAGGCTACCGTCAGACTGGACAATGTGGAACAGGTGGAGGGTCTGTTCAATCAACTTGAGCTTATAGAGCAGAGAATGGATATCTTTGAGCCTGAGCCGCCAGCTCCCATTATAGAACCACCGCCCTACGATCCTGGTCTGCCCTACCTGCCAGACTACGAATCCCTGATGCGGCTGGAAAACGCAAAGAGCGGCCAGAAATTGCCCGACTACACCGAGGTAATGGAACAAAGGTCCAAGAAATCCAATTATGTCAACAGCATTGAGGATCTATATGCGGATCTGGACGTTAATGAGGTGGAGATAAACGGTTCTCCAGTTAACCAGAGCAATGAAATCCACAATTTTGAGGCCTTGTGCCAAGAAATGGCTGTGGTGGTGCCATCAGAGCGTCAAGCTCCTCAGCCCGCGCCCAGGTCCAACAAATCAGCCAGATCCCTCAATGTTCGTGGTAGTACTTCTCCCCTTGCGTGCTATCAACCTGAAGAGCTGCCCAGCTCCAGTTCCAGTGATACCGACGGGGAGGAAGGAGCCCGATCAGCTCCAGTACCTGCCAAACGTGATCCGAAAGCGCTGAAAGTCCGCTTTGATGTGGATAATCTCCAGTACTACCAGTCCGCCGAGGTGGTAACGTCAGGAGAGGAGTCTCAAGAGGATGAGCCGTTGCATCAGCCCACTCCCATGCAGCGTTCCATCATCTTTGAGCCAAGCAATACTGGACTGCCCATCCTATTCGGATCCCAGGTCTCCCAGGAAGACAGTGATGACGATGATGGCTTTGGACGAGCTATCAGCCAACATCGCTCCATGACTGCGACACTTAGGACAAACGCTATTAGAAACCATACCGACGCCTAGTCCGAAAACCGGAAACTGCCGCAAGTCTTGACTTCCTTAGTAAATACAGTATTCTATGTGTTAAATTTGGCCAAATGGCTATGACCTATTTATGTACATAAATTTCACTGAAAAATTGCCATATCATGTTGACTACATAAAATAAAGTAATAGCAGGAAATCCATTGAAGATAAAATGCCGCCTTTTATAAATGTGTTCAAACTCTCTAATGATTAGTTAATCAATAACGAATCACATTTTTGGCCATTATTTAATGTCTAGATAATGCAGCTGATATGGACAAGTCAGCACGTTATCACTATCTCTTGCTTTGAAACCGAATCAAAAGAATAACACTACTTGTAATGTTTAAACAAACACTTACCTATGCAGTTTAACCAGTGGGAAGTGCATGCATAACTTCTGATGGAACTCGGTGAATTCGCGATATGACCGGAACAAATGTGTCGGATCGGGCTGTCCGTGTCGCGTCACCTCCAGAATATACATGTAGAACTTTTCCATGCTGTAGTGCTTCTGGAAACACACCACCTTCACAATCTTCAAGCGACCATCCTGCTGCATTCTGAGATTGGAAACATTTGTAGGTAAAAGTGATTAACTTAGGGGTACAGAAACGTACGTATATTTTCGTGGCACGAACGACAGCAACTCTCCTGATCCCTCATCTGGCGTGAATCGCATCTGGGCCAGATTGTGCAGGAAGAAATTGAATTGTGTGAACCAGCTTTTCAACGAGGATTGGATCATCTTGGCAAACGTGGCTGCCGCCTCGGGATTTGATTGTGAAGGCAATAGGGCGCGACGCACATATTGCACAGCATTTGAGTTAACTCCCGGCATGCCTGCTGTAGCCATGTGGGCCAGGGTGTGCAGAAGCAGATCGGCATTTTTCCGCACAATATTGAAGGCTCGACAACATAGGTCCACAAAATAGTGAAAGTCAGTGGAAGGCTTGTCCCCGCCGTTTATGACATAAGCCATGTCGGAAGTTAGGACAAATGGGGTGCGATCCCTGCGGGAGAACAAAAATAATATGTATAAGTCCATTACAACTGAAAATACCATCAATTTCAATACCTCTTGAAGTTTCCAAACATCTGGGCGTCGCCTAGAAACTTGCCAAAGTCAATGTGAAACAAGTGACCCGAAGTCTTTAACATGATGTTGTCATTGTGCCGATCGCAGATGCCTAGCACATACGTGGCCACACTGTATCCAGCACAGGATAGCGTAAAGTTTCGCACCGCACTCTGGTACTCGAGTGGACTGGGGTTCTGCTTGCCTAACCACTCGGCAATGGGACGATCCTTGAAGGAGCCCGTCAGACCGCACTCTACTTGAATTTTTCTCAACGTTTCCGCCTCGTTAACCAGCTCAATCATGCCGCTCTTGTATCCCGTAGGCACACAATTAAAGGTGACCATCTTCAGGTCCAAGCGTTCGGCCAACCACATTTTGTTCATAATCCTAATTAGCTGTATGGTCAACTGATCCTGCTGCAAGTCATCACCGCACTGGAAAAGGTTAGAGTTATAAACATCAATTATACATATTATTAGTAGATGAACCATTACTTTAAAGATAGCCGGTAAAGACTCGGCATCAGGTCCCACGAAGTTGATCTTCAGCGGCAGCGTGTTGGAGTTAAAGTAGCTACAGTTGCGCACACTCACTCCAGTGACCTCCAATTCTGGTCCCAGTGGCAGGCAAGTGGGCTTCTCCAACAAGTCTTGGTGCACCTCGTCCATGCCTGCGGCTAGGCTTTTTTGGCGCATCGACTCCTTAGCTTCTTTGACCGACTCCGCAATAGTGGTCAGTTTCTGTAAAAGCAAGACATATAATTAATAATCATAAGCAGAAATCTTATAAGTTAATTCTTAATTTGTTCTTCAATATTTTAGGAAGTTTATTACCTGACACATTCGATGCTGGTACATAAATCGCTGTAGCATCTTCTCGCCGCAAATAGCCATTAAAGCTCGCAGCATCATTTTGTTCCGGCGGTAGTAACGGACCTGAGTAACCTGGGACTCGTCATACTCCTGATCCACCATCGCTGCTCCAATAGAGTTGTGGGGATCGTCAGGCAGACTGTGCACAATCAGCCAATACATGTGATGAGCAAAGCGCGGCGACTCCAGGCACTTGGACAGCAAGAATCGAGCCATGGCCGAACCTTCATAAGTGTCATGTTTTAAGCTTTGCACTAATTGGGGCAGAAAGTCCACGAGCTGGTCGTTGGGCATCTTAGAGATCCACTCCACGGCTTTCTCGCGAACCTTAGCATCCGGATATCGGGGCAGCAGTAACTCCAGAGACTGCAGGGGCGAGAGCGGCGCCCAGGAGTGAAGAAGCGCATGCAAATCTATCAAATTGGCGTAATCCCAACTGTGGGCGGCATGAAGAACCTTTGGCAGGGCATTGGGATAGTTTTGCAGGTAGAGCCGTTTCTCCCAGAACACTTCACGTCGCTCTGTAGCTCCGGTGTAGCCCAGCTCTGCAGTGTCCAGCAGCTCTTCTTGAAGATTGGCATCCAGAGAGGCAAAATCGTAGCTGGCGAGGAGAACTTTTGTCAGAACTATTATAAACAATTTGTATATATGCTATACTAACTGCGGTGCAGGTTTTGGCACCTCCTGGTGCTCAGGAAACTCTATGCGGCCTCCATACGGAGGTACCTCAATGCTCAGAACAGGGCAAAAGTCGGGTTGCGGATGACAGCCCCGCGCCGGAGCTGGTCCAAGCATTTTGTCCGTCGTTGGGGGCCATAAGGACAGTAAGTAGGGACCGCAGATCATCACTCGCTTAAAGTCAAACAGCTGGATCGAGCACCAACCCAGTTCTGTGGTCACCTGACGCCTTTCTCCATTCTGTTCGGCGTTGGGCTCACCTTCGCTGGCCGCCTGTTTACCATACAAGACGAACGTAAGGCGGGCCTCCCTGGGCAGAGTGCAGATAGGATGCTGATCGAAAGTTAACCAGGCACTGAAGTTAAGGCGCGGAAACAGGCCTCCGCTTGTATCGTTGGAGCAGGTCAGCACATTCGGCTTCGACAGCAGGCGCGTTCCATAAACAATTTGAACGCACAGTGAGTAATCGTCGAACTTCCAATTCGGCAGCGGCCTGTGCAAGCAGCTTATGCAAACCACTATTGGTTTGGACACGCAGGAAATGGGTATGGGTGCTATAAAAGTACGCATAGGTTTAGTAAACAAGGATCATCAGTTTCCCACCAGCACTCTTACTTGTTGAGTAATCGGGAGTCTTCACGGAGAATGCCACCCGGAAAACATTCGCGTACAGCTCAACCAGCTCTTGCACTGCGTCTCGCAGCTCATTGCACTTGACCTTGATCTGCTGCAACATGGAGCGCGGGCGGAGTACAACTTGAGCATAATCACCGTAGTCACTGACAATCTCTGGGTTACTAGCACCCGTCGAGAACTTATTTTGCTCCATCTCGCAAATGCGTTTCAGATCGGTAACACATCGAGCTATTTCCATTGTGTCGATTGAGCCGAGCAGAGCGCATATGGCCTTCACTGCTTGGACAACTCCGGAGCAGCTCACGACACTCCGGCCGGGCACTCCTTCTGCCGCGGATTCCAGTTTGTCAATCTCCATCTCGAGCGTTTCAATGAGTATCATCATGTTGTCGTAGGTCACAATAGGCACCACCTCGTTAGGAAGAAGATGCTCCGGCAGCAAATCCGCATCGTGCTCATCATCCCGCTCTGTTCGTGCAATAGCCTGCATGTTTGCCGCCGTACTGAGGCACAGGCCCAAATGTACGTCCTTCTCCAATTGAAAGCTATTGTGGACGCACTCCAGCTGGCTTAGTTTCGAGGTGGGTGCAAGCCACTCAAGAAGACCAATGGGCTGTGGAGAAAAAATATTTCAACTTTAGGTATGCAAAAATCTTCGATCTATGTACCCACCTTGACGGCGTAATCTGTGACGGTACCCTTAACCTGTCCCTCCAGCGAGGCTAAGGCTTGTGCCACCACCTGTGCCACAACCGAGTCAACTTTTGGATAAAATTCAAACATTAAAGAGACAATCGAACATTTTAAAATCATACTTACTGTCACAAGTGAATGTAACTGGCATTCCATAGCCCTTCACCTGTTCCATGGCCATGGAGGCAGCCTGGACGTGCGGTTGGAGCGTGTTAAGAGCCGGATGCACAATCACCTTGATGCTGGTGTCCATCATGTAGTGGTAATTAAACTCGGCAGCCACAACATGGCCCACATTGGTAGGCGCATCGTCGTGCGGATAGCGCGCCCTGACCTCCTTAACCATGTGGTAAAACTCCAGAAGTTCGGGGTCATCAGTGCGCTGGTCGCTGATCAATTCGTACAGGCGTGTACAAGTTTTTCGACGATCCAGCACCACACTGGCCGGAATGCTGGATGTGTAGCTTTCCGTCAGTACAGTAGACTGAGGAGGCTTGGAGAGAGGCATAGCTGCCTGATTCGGTTCATAGCTTTGCTGGTTCCTGGGTGGCAACGGTGGAGGAGGCGAGATACTGCCAGATCCATTCGCCGAAACTTTTACACTCTCCTCTGGCGGCACATCACCATAGTGCGATGAGGATGTGGATGGCTGGCTGAGAAAATCTTGACGCCAACCGATCAGACCCACACTCGGACTCACGGTGGCCGCAGTTTTGTCCCACCTGTTGACGGCCTCATACATGGGATCGGAATATTGGGTTCCTGCATCTCCGCTGTACAGAAAGTCAAAGGGATCGTATTCCGCATAGTAGGAAGTGCTGTCAGAGGCGCTGTCGTTGCCTGCAAGTAGTGAGTGCATGATCAGTGCCGGTTTAAATCCAGTTCCCACTTAGAATATCGCCAGTAGTTATGCAAATATGCTCGAGAGCCGAGGCCTACTACTGCTAGAATCCGGGCACATCACATCGTGTGGCCAAAAATAAATGGGACGACCCCTAAAGTCGCAGCAGTGCGATGTGGATCGGTGGGACTAGCACCACTGGCAGTGCGAGAACGCTTCGCAAATCTACGCTAACAAATCCGAGGCGAGTGCCATCGCTAAAAGCTAATTGTGATTGCTGTCATTCGTCGCCCACGCTGAGCCAGTACAGTGGAACCAATACCATTCGATTTTTGTTTAAAGAGATGTTTATGTCGCACATGTCGAAAGTACAAAACGAATATGATAACAAAACCCCATGAATTATTTTCACTAATATCCATGGCTTGCTTTATATATTTACATGCATTTTAAATGTGAAGTGAGCAGAAGGGATACCCACTGTGCCCAAGTGTGTATTTTTAAAACGCTTTGTTTATATTCATTCTAAATCTGTCGCCTCTTGTGCCCATACATCTGTTTCATTTGCCACAAAAGGGAAAGCTATTTGCCTAAAGACCTCGTAATTTTAAAAGCCTTTGGTATTTCCAACTGTTTGACAGTAAAAAAGGGAATGGCAATGGTGAGCATACAAGTAATTTGACAAAAGTGCAACGACTTAAATGCAAACAATAGTAAAGAGTTAGTTCATTTTCCAATCTCCCCAGAATGTCATAAATAAATACATACATATGCTCGAAAAGCTTATCGAATCTATTGTCAGTTACTATTTAGAAAAGCGTGAATGTGCATTTAAAATCTTGCAATAGGAAATGGAAGCAAGCGACTAAACTAATAATAAAACAACAACAGACTGCAATTTGTTTAAGAAATTATTTATTTGTTCTCTCACAATGGTACACGATAGAATTAAACATATGTATGTATGTATTTATTTTTGTATATAAGTGGATATAATTAATGGATATATGTAGCAGCAAATCACATTGTGTTCATTTCGTAATACATGGTTGTAAAAAAGAAGAGACTAAATCTTCTCATTTCATCACTTTCCATTTAAATGACAGTCGTTAAATTCTTTTAAATTTTGAAGTTCTCATTACCCTTTAAGCGTTACAGATGCCAAACCAAAACCAATTCCAAACATTGTGAACTAGTTTTATCCGACATATTGAACATGTATATGCTGAATTCAAAATTATTCCGGCAATTGCGGAAGGCACAAATTTCGATATGAGGGCATTATATATATTACATTAGTACTTTCGTGTAAGTAGGTGGTTCTACGTAAGTGCTGTTATGGACAGTAATCTGTCTTTGCCTCCGAAACGAACCAAACTGACCCGAAACCCTTGAGGTGGTGTAGTTGTTGTGGGTGTAAAGTAGTTGTTTTATTGCATTTTTGGTAGTAGTAGTACTGATAGTAGTAGAGGACAATTAAAATGGATTACTTTTTCGACACTGCAATATAGAGAAACGAAAACATTCAGTTTAATTTTTAGCTAAAGGCGAGCCACAACTTGCTACGGAAAGTTTACAAATGATCTGGGATATCTAGCTAGACATACTAGTTTTTGCAAAACAAATAATGATATTTATGATTAAAAACTGTTTAAAATAAGCGCAAATATTCACTAAAATACTTTAGTCAAATAGTTTAATAAAACCTATTAGGAAATGCCATACAAATATAGAATCGTGTGTTTGGTTCTATTCAGATCTTTTGCAGAATTTTTTTCCAATTCTATTAAATTTATTATTCCCCTATACTAGAGTTGACAACTCAATTGATCATTAGGCCAATCATTTTTATTTGTAGCTTAATAGAATGCTCTGTCAAAGAATCGCACCACACGAGCTTTTTAGACTGTATTTCAATTTCAGTTTACGGTGCGAAAAATGTAGGGGAATTTCAACGAGGACCGGGAGCTACATGTTAATTACAACATTGAGGTTGCTTACCAGTATTGTCGTTTAGCAGGGGATCGAAAGCCTCCAGCACACTGACACGGGAACTGCAAGGCAGGATGTATGAATGTTAAAAACATACAGTGATCATTTTTAACGTTTGTGGATACATACTAGTCCTCGTGATTGAGGTCTATCAAATCGTTGCCCCTGCGTGGGCCGGAGGAATGACCATTGTTTCCGGTGTGGCTAGTGGAGCTTACACTGCCAGTCGAGGGCGCTTGGCGACGCGCCTGGAAGGCTACTCCATTGGCCTCCACGGAGGAGGAAGTGGAATAATTGGACGGTTGGCTGTGATGACTTGTAGTCGATGCTGGAGGAGCTGGTTGAGATTGGGGTCGCCGCAAATCCATGTGCGTGTAAGCACCTCCAAACCCATATCCCTGTGCGGGATACTGCGGCGGCATAAATGCAGCCGATCCGGGGACTATGGGAGCCGTGTATGGTGTAACCACAGCTCCGGGATAGTACATATAAGCGTGTTGTTGCGGCACTGGAGCCACGGCCATTTGAGCGGGCATGCTGTATAGCCGCTGGAGCTCCTCGCTGTTCAGTGGCCTCTGTTGCTGGGCAGCTGGTTGGTAGGGCACCAACTGCAGGTCACCGTAAGCAGGTCCACCCACAACTCCTCCTGCCACCATGCCGTAAGGTGAGGGTTGCACAGCAGTCGGACGTTGCTGGTGAGGTGGATAACCGTATTGAGGAGGAATCGAAGACGACGCAATCGGACTCATTGGCACCAGAGCTGACTGCGGATTGGTCGGCTGCATCCGCTGCAGATCTTCGATGAGTTTGCCAAAGGGGCTGCTACTCTCAGGCTGCTTGCTGGTTGGACTTGCGAAGCATATCAGATCGTTATCCGTCCCCTGAGCCGGCGGTGTGCGCGATCGTTCCACATTTCCCGGACTGATGACCACCTGATGAACCTCCGAGTGCCGTCGTGGCTGATTTACGCTCTGACTACGATGCGCCGCCTGGTAATCTCGACTAGCAAGGGAGGAGCTTTGCTGATACCCAGAGCCGTACTTCTTGCTTCGCCTGTAGTCATCGAGGGCTTGCTGCTCCAGACTCAGGGCGGTTGCCTTGGCCAGGTCATCCTGGAATTGCTTGTCGTAGTCGATCTGCGCTTGATTTGCCATTATCCCCTCGTTTTCGAAACGTCCGATCCGTTGAGCTGCGAATAGCGACCAGAACCAAATGTGAGCGATTTCCAAATTTTGTTAAAATTATTTTCGTATTTTCTCTTTCAATGCCTATTTGTTATTCCCGTGGTGAACAAAGGTGTTTGCCTTTTCGGCTCGCTTATCTCTGCGATAACAAACAGGCGGTGATAAAAGTGATTATGCAGTGTAAATGACAATGGTACTATATGAGTACCTGGACGAAGAACAGGTGAGACACCATTCGGTGGGGGGAACACCTCTTGCGAAAGAGTGGGGGTGCCTATCGGAAGCTTTTAAAAGTGTTCCAAAGAAGGTTGGCGAAAGATAATGAGCAGTCATTAGCGACACCAATGATTCAGAAAATAGGGGACAACAGATTGATCGCTTTAAAAGACTAACTTAAAGTTGAAAGAAAGTGATAAGATTTAGGATTCCTTATAGCCAGGACCGGACTGAGAAATAACTTTATATTTTAAGGGATATTATTGTACAATGTAAGTATGATATTAACTACGATTAGCAAAATTTCCATATTCGGAACATAACAGACAACAGCAAAACATGGAACATTTTAGTATGTGGTAAATACTTGTACACATAGAAACATAGAAACCAAATCCAAGCGCTCCAAATTTGCGATTGCGATACAACAGAGTGGCACAAAAAGGCGCAATTGAGTGCGCGATTGTAAATAAATAAATAAATACAAACAAAAGCGACGGCATTAAATTGCGTGAGTGAATGCTGCGAGTACTGATTATATATAAACGCGATATAAACGTACGTATGTATGTAAGTCACAAGAAAGCGTTTTGATTTTTTCCGTTTGAAGCCATTCTGCTATGCAGATAGGAAACAGCTGTTCAATGTAAACACACCCACAAAAGTGCTAGTGTGTGCGTGTGGGTCCGTGTCGCGAACGGAGACGGAATGGGAGATAAGAAAATGCGAACCGGCTAGGAAGCGAGAAAGAGAGAACTAGGGGGAGAGAAAGAGAGAGGGTTTCTTGCGGCAAAGGTTAAGGTAAATCAATAGATTGCAACTAAATATAAATACACTATTCATAAACAATAAATGAACTCAAGTGAATGGCCATTCAGAGAGAACGTCAGAGTGAAATTTGAAAACAGCGAATTTCAGGGTAAGGGCGAAAGCAAATGATAATGGAGATAGTCATTAATATGCAGACTTGAGTTCTGCTTTGTGATTCTCATTCGCATATTGCCAACTTACTCGGTTTTTGAGGTGTCACCTCCGCTGCTTTTTTGTTTTTGGTTCAGGTTTTCCCTTGACGGGGCTACGGACTTAGACCATCCGGTAAAGAGATTTTCACTTGTGTCCCTCGGTTGTTGTTATAATTGCCGAATAACAAATGGTTTTAACTTTACGAATGATTTTTTTGTTTTTAGGAGTTGTTTTATACTCCTACACACCTAGGCCTACACACACACATGCGAAACGAACATACACGCACACATAAACACGAACAGAAAATAGTGACTAAAAACGGAACAGACGAAACGCCAAAATACTGAACAAAACGGTATTTTCTTAGATGTTCTTGCACTATCACATATTATGTACAAATCGGTTAATTTACAATAAAAAACAATTATCTTGTGCGCAAGAACTTCACACACGAACGGCACGAAATAACGCAAAACGGAATGCAACAAGCAGTAGTGATGGTACGCGAATCGATTGTTTTTCGGCAGCTATCGATCAAAGCTACTTCGAATAGGTGTTCGAATCACTTAGCCGGGTTTCACTTTTCGATCAATTCAAATTTATTTAATACTTAACTTTTGAACGTTGCAATTAATTACCCCAACTCTCAATTTGAGCTTTATTAATTGTAAAACATAAAGAAATTAAGTAAGTAATTTATTTTAGTTTTGACCGGCTATTGCAAAAGTCCATTCATTGTGCTATAGAAAATTGTTATTTATAGTTCGCCAAAAATGCTTCATCCAGATCCAGGTTCCTGCCGTGATCCATGGCCACCTTGGAGTCGTCGTCCAGCCCACCAGCTCCGTAGTCTGGATCGTCGAGGGAACTACTGGGCGGCGCATTGTACATCCTGCGGTAGGAGGCTTCGATGTTCTCGTCCAGCATGCGGTCCACAATGTCACTCTGGACCTGTCCCGGTTCCTGGGACATTTTAAGGAGGAGTTCCGCATGACTGGGCGTCATTTGGGGCAGTTGAAGATCGGTGGCTGCTGCAGTATTTCCATTTGCCCTTCGCTGGGCAATTTCCGCCGATTCCGCACCCATCTTGCAGATGGCACATCTGCTGCGAAGAATTTGCTTCTTCAGATTGACCAGTGCAATGCGATCCTGCGCCACTAGCATTCGTTCGTGGGCCAGCTGGGCCTCCTTTTCGGCGATTTCCTGGGCCCGCTTGGCCATTATTTTGAGCTTGGCCTGGAGCAGCTGGTCCGCCTCCCGAGCCTTCTGCTCGGCCAAGTGTTGGCGACTGGTGGCCAGGCGATAGGCGCCGGTGGCTTGGCCCAGTTCGTCCTCCTTGAGATTCAGGGCGTTCTCTTTGTCCAGAAGAAGCCGCTTGCGCTGCTCTATTTCGCGCTGCAGCTTGTGGCAGCGATCCCGCTCCTCATCCGCCCGCCGAATGGCTTCGCGGGCCACCTGCAGTTGGGCCTCCAGCTCGCGGCGATCCCTGTCTGGATCGCCGTGCTCATTGAGCTGCTGTTTTAGTTCCATCTGCTGGCGTTCCACTGCCAGTTGATTGCGCTCCTGCTGGAGATCGTGGTGCAGTCGTTCCATCTCCGCAAGCTGCAGGGATTTAAGATCCTCCACACGCTTCTCATCCCGCTGCATTTGCTCGCGGTGGAATTCCTTTTCGCGCTCGAAAGCCTTGCGCTCCGCTTCCAAACTGGACATTCGCTGACGGAGCTGCCAGTTCTCCTCGGCGGAGTCCTTTGACAGACGGCCCAGCTGCAGCTCCAAGGTGCTCACCAGTTCCATCAGGCGGCGCTTCTCCTCGTCGGCCGTCTCCTCGTCCATCTTTAAACGCCTCTCCTGGTCGGCCAGGCGACGTTCTCGCGCCTCCAACTGCCGTTCCTTTTCCTGGTTGTCACTCATTCCGTCGCGAAGTTCTTGAAGATTGCTGGAGGCCAGACGAAGTGTCTCCAGATAATTTCCATGATCCTGCACCGCCGACAACTCCACCATCTTGGCCTGACGAATACCCTCGAGGTCCAGCTCGTGGGATTGACGCAGCTTGCGCACCTCATCCTCATGATCCTGTCGCAGGTTAGAGATCTGCTCCACGTAGTCCTCCTTCTGCTTCTCCAGTTTGTCGATGTAGTACTGCCGTAACTCGCTGTTCTCGTCTTTGAGTCGTTTCTCTACGACGGACAAGTGCTCCTCCAGCACCTTAATTTGCTTTCTGAAATAAAATCAAATATTTTTAATCAAATAAAAGTCTCTAAAAATACATTACTGCCTTACTTTCAGAGTAAAAGGTTATAATTTAGGAATACGACTTCAAACAAATAACTGCGGCTTGTTAAAACTTACTTATATGAAGTATCGATCATTTCGATCTCCTGCTCATAGTTGACCTTCATGTTGGCCACCAGCTCATCGAGTCGCTGTTTCTCCAGCAGATTGCGCTTGGCATCTATTTCGAGCAGCAGCAAGTGCTCCTGTTCCTGACTGGCCGGCTTGCTGGGCTCCTTCGTTTCCGTTTCCGGTTTCTCAACGGCCGATGGTGCGGTAACCGCTTGCTGGACATGCACAGGCTGCGACATCATCAGCTGAAGGTGCATATTGATGCGCTCCTGCTGGCCTTTTATGTGTTCCTCCATTTGCTGCTGTCGCTGCAGTTGCTGTTGGATTAATGCCTGGAATTTTCGATCCTGATCTTCTTGGCGACGCTGCATCTCCAATAGAGTCCTCTCTTGGTTCTTCATTTGGGCGGCGATCACCAACTGAGCCTCTTGCTGCTGCAAGGCATTGAATTTATGGTTGCTCTCCAGGTTGAGATTGCTCAGCATGAGGATATTCTGAGTAGCTGCAGTGACGACGGATGATGGAGCGGGAACGACGGGCATTTCTGCCTCCTGCTCCACATCGTTCTCATCGGAGTCGGCAAGGCGCAGGATGTCAGCTGTATTCTTCGAGGGACTTTCACTTGAGGGCTGCGCCTTGGGGGTCTGCGCCTTGGGTGTAATGGTTCGCTGATCCGGCTCCGGCTCCGGCTCCTGCTCCAGACCCAACCAATCCGCCGTGGTTCCCCGTTTTCTGGAAACGGGAGTGGACATTCCCGAAACAGTAGCATTTGTATCCCTCCCAAACAGACCCAACGGATCGGCATTCATATTAATAGTGGCCGATTGCGCCGAGCTTCTTCTACCAGTGGAAGTTTTGGGCCTCGCCTGCGAGTTATCCGTGGTGGTGTCCGTGGATTGGCGGGACATTGATGGTTTGCTCGTAGCCGGACGTTTGACGGCGTCTCCCGCCAGAATATCATCGAAGATGTTCTTCTTGGGTTCTGCGTTGCTGGTCAGCAGATCATCGAAGAGGCTCCTCTTGGCGCCGCCACTCTTGGGTCGCTTGGGATCGAAGCCCAAGTCATCATCCTCGACGAGATCATCATCCAGTGAGATAGAGGGCTTCTGCTTTACAATTCTCGGCGTGATGGTGGCTTTCCTGGCACCCGTTCCCTGACCCTGCACGTCGGCCTCCGTCTCCTCCTGAATCCCAAACAAATCCTCCAGTTTTCCCTTTGGCTTCCCCAATTTTGCTGGTTTCTTGTGACCCACGCCGGCTGGCGTCTCAAAGAAGTTGTCATTATCCAGGCTATTATCGCTGAGCAGTTCAGCCAGTGGATCGTCGTTGAAATTCATTGTGGATTATACCAATACTAAAAAAGTGACTATTAAAATGAGAACGATACGGTTGCCTAGTAACGAATTTTAAAAGTCTACAGCAACGAAAATAATCGAACAGGATAAAGGTGTCCTTAAATATCTTATTAAACTATTTTGTAATTACATAAAGTATACTTTTTTTTATTTAATTATGTTTAATTTAAAGTCTAACTATTTACCTCTTCATGAGAGATTATAACATTTCTGAAGGAAATTTTCATCCCAATGACATCTTAAAATAAAACTAAAATCAGACTAGCTTCACATTATTAATTGATATCATATTAAATTGTTATATTTTGATTAAAGTTATACGTTTACTTCAACGATATTTTTTAAAATGTGTCCGAGTAATCGGTGGTATATTGCAAAACGTAGAGTGCGGTCACACTGCCGCTGCGATTGTTTTGGTTTTGGTTAAAAATGAGCAATATTTACATCCAAGAACCGCCCACGTCGGGAAAGGTCCTTCTAAAGACCACTGTGGGCGACATAGACATCGAGTTGTGGGCACGGGAATGTCCGAAGGCGTGCCGCAACTTCGTGCAACTCTGCCTAGAGGGCTACTACAAGAATACTGAATTCCACCGGCTGGTCAAGGGCTTTATTGTCCAAGGAGGCGATCCAAATGGCGACGGCACCGGCGGCGAGTCCATATACGGGCAGCCCTTTAAGGATGAGTTTCACTCCCGACTCCGGTACACGCGTCGCGGCCTTGTGGGAATGGCAAATTCTGGAAAGGATGACAACGGCTCCCAGTTCTTCTTTACATTCGCTCCGACGCCGGAACTGCAGAATAAGAACACGCTTTTTGGGAAGATCACCGGCGACACCATCTACAACATGCTCAAGTTGGAGGAAGGCATTGTTGATCACCAGGAACGACCGATGCACGCCCATCGCATCGTTTCTACGGAGGTCCTCTCCAACCCATTCGATGATATTGTTCCTCGTATTCTGGCCCAGCCATCCACGAAGAGCAAAAAGAGCAAGAAGGAGCGACAAGGAGTCAAGTAAGATTTCCGTTCTAAGTCGCCATAATTCCGACTTGCTTCACTTGATTAGCAGTTTAATTTTTGACACATTTAAATATTGTGTATTTTTCCATTATTTTATTTAAATCGTAATGACCGGAACCAAATTGTAAACATTCTTTTAAAGTGAAAACAATGAATGTTTGCTTTGGAAGCTGCATAACAGTGCGGCTTATCTGAAACGATTGATTTATTTATCATAGATTTAGACTAAACCACTAAATACCTCGTAGTGCATTGCTAACGCTTCAATATAATCCACAGAAACTTTGGCCTGCTCTCCTTTGGCGAAGAAGCCGAAGGTGATGAGGAGGAGACCAACGTTTATGTTAAACAGAACGCCGGTAAGGCGAAATCCCTGCACGATGTCACGGATGATCCCAAACTGAGCAAGGAGCCCATTCGTGTGCCCAAAGTAGAAAAGGAAGAAAAAATCGAGGAGCACTTGTCCGACGATTGTCCTGAGGACAGTGTCAAGGAAAAACCCTCCAATGCTAGTTCGGATCTCATCAAAATGAAACTGTCTAAGCGATCAAAGAGTGGGCCAGACAAGAAAGCTCAGCCAGTTGAGGAAAAGACTGATTCTGACGATGACGAGGATGTTTTGTTGACTCGGGAGGAGGAACAAAGTCGGAAAGTCTCGGAGGAAAAGTGAGCTATACTAAAATATGTTTTATCATGCTCCAGCCATTTAATTTATGTAATTTAGATCCAAGATCCGTGAGGAAATCGCTTCTCTTAAAAAGCAGTATCAAATGGATAAGCAAAGCAAAGACAAGCTGGTTAGTGGACAAGAGAAAGCTGCAAAATCCTCCGAAATCAAGGGGTCTAGCGAAAACCATTACATTAACGATTTTATAGAGTCTAAGGAGAAGTACACCGCCAAAGTAAAGCTTCAACCAAAAGGACAGTCAAGGTGGGATATATTTTATTTTTCAACAGCTTTTAAACGATTTGACAAATTTTTCAAATTTTTAGAGAGGCATTTACACTGAGCCTACTCTCGAAATTCCGAACGAAATTGGACAACTTGAAGCAAAAGTCAAGCTCTGATGATGTCGAATCGGAAGCGAAGGATATTGACGATCGCGTAGTAGAACAGGAAATAATCGGCGACGATTGGCTGTCGCACACCTTAAACTTTAATAGTTCGACTCCAGTTTTGGCTAAAGATGCCAATAAAAAGGGTGACGATTGGTACGATGCCTACGATCCACGAAATCCTCTTAATAAACGTAAACGGGGCGAAACTGGCTCTAGCAAATCTAGTTCGGGAAAATCAAAAAGCAGTAAGCGTGACTAATAAAGAAAAATACAAAAATAAACAAATGTTTCAACATATTTTGTTGTCTTTCTACTTGCTGTATTCTTCACAATCAATTAAACAAAAATATATTTAAACACTTACCTACACGTTTGAATTGCGCGGTATTTTTTGGTAGTACCGTATTTTCCAGTGGGTCGCTCCATTTGGTGATGCATGGCTAGTAAACCCGGCCACACTGCTCGTTTGAGCCAGACAAAGTTAACCGCAGCTGAGACAAAAAGGCGAATTCAAGGTGAAGTAATTGGCTTCAAAATAACAGGTAATAGCAGGTGATTGCCAAATCGGTTTGCCCATTTGCTGAAGTGCCTAAATAGCTTCAATCTGTGCGTGCAAATCGAGCACACAAGTGCCGAAGTCAGAAGGTTGCGTCAGGAGGGAATTATTGATTTTATTCGTCATTTGTTTTCGGTCGCCACAGCTACTCGACTTTTTTGAGGGGGAAGCTGCCTGAGTCACCACACGAAAGAGCACAGACATCACGGACTTTGGGGATCTCCGGATATTTGGAGATGAGTGCCAAGAGCAGGAGACCCGGAACCGGCGGCAGCCAGACGCCCAACGAGTGCGTCCAAGTGGTGGTCCGATGCAGGCCCATGAGCAACAGAGAACGCTCGGAAAGATCCCCGGAGGTGGTCAATGTGTTTCCGAATAGAGGCGTTGTCGAGCTGCAGAATGTGGTCGATGGCAACAAGGAGCAGCGCAAGGTTTTCACCTACGATGCCGCCTATGATGCGAGTGCATCGCAGACGACGCTCTACCATGAAGTGGTCTTTCCCCTAGTCAGTTCCGTTCTGGAGGGATTCAATGGATGTATATTTGCTTATGGACAAACCGGCACGGGCAAAACCTTCACCATGGAGGGAGTGCGCGGAAATGACGAGCTGATGGGCATCATACCACGCACCTTCGAACAGATCTGGCTGCACATCAATCGCACAGAGAATTTCCAGTTTCTGGTCGATGTGTCCTATCTGGAGATCTATATGGAGGAGTTGCGCGATCTGCTTAAGCCCAACTCCAAGCACTTGGAGGTGCGGGAACGAGGATCAGGCGTTTATGTTCCCAATCTGCACGCCATTAACTGCAAGAGTGTCGAAGATATGATCAAAGTGATGCAAGTGGGCAACAAGAACCGCACCGTGGGATTCACCAACATGAATGAGCATAGTTCAAGGTAAGTGTCTTCCGTTAAAAGCCCCTTTACAAATCTACAGGATTCCGAGACTTTAGATAAACCATCAATTTACTTACAGATCCCATGCCATTTTCATGATCAAAATCGAAATGTGCGATACGGAAACCAACACCATCAAAGTGGGAAAACTGAACCTCATCGATCTGGCGGGCAGCGAGCGGCAGTCCAAGACAGGAGCTTCAGCGGAGCGTTTGAAGGAAGCTAGCAAAATTAACCTGGCTCTTTCTTCACTGGGCAACGTGATCTCCGCCCTGGCCGAAAGTTCGCCACACGTGCCGTATCGTGACTCAAAGCTGACCCGACTGTTGCAGGATTCGCTGGGTGGCAATTCCAAGACCATTATGATTGCCAACATTGGTCCATCCAACTACAATTATAACGAAACGCTGACCACGCTACGGTACGCCTCACGGGCCAAGTCCATCCAGAATCAGCCGATCAAGAATGAGGATCCACAGGACGCCAAGTTGAAGGAGTATCAAGAGGAAATCGAGCGACTCAAACGGCTGATAGGTCCGCAACAGCAGCAACGCAGTGAAAAGCTGGTCACGGCCAAGAAGCAGCGTGTCAAGAAGCCCAAAAAGGAGCCCGTATCTAGGGAGATGTCGGACTCTCTGCAGATTTCAACGATTGAGCAGCCGGCGGAGGATGACAGCGATCCCGAGGGTGCCGAGTCCGAGTCGGATAAGGATAACGAGGCCGAGGTGGCCAAGTCCAACGAGGAACTGGAGCGGGAGCGTGTCGAGAACTCGAAACTGGCGGCTAAACTGGCAGAATTGGAGGGTCAACTGGTTCGCGGCGGGAAAAACCTGCTGGACACGTACAGTGAGCGCCAGATTGAGCTGGAGAAGAAGCTGGTGGAAATCGCTGAGCGCAAGAAGCGCGAAATTGAGATCCAGCAGCAGCTTGAACTGCAGGAGGAGACCACTCTGGAAATTCGCGAACGGAACGTTTCACTTGAACAAGAGGTGGAGCTTAAGAAGCGCAAGCTCTCCAAGTGCTACGCCAAATATTTGGCTCTGCAGCAGGAACTCAACGATTGCAAGTCCGACCACAACCAGGACCTTAGAGAACTCGAGATGGCACAGAACGAGCTGGTAAAGGAGCTTAAACGCCAGCTCCTAATCATCGACAATTTTGTGCCCATTGAGGTAAAGCAGCGCCTGTACACGCAGGCCAAGTATGACGAGGAGCAGGAGGAATGGAAATTTTCCTCGATGTCGCTGCCGACGCCTCCTGGTGGTGATGGCAAGTTCAGCAGCAAGCGACCGGTGTCGCATCCTCACCGAAGAAGGCCCACCTCCGAATACGCCCTGCAGGAAGCCAAATCGAATTCACCAAGTTCTCTACGCTTCAAGAGCGAGAACATCGTGAACTACGAATTGGAGATGCCGTGTCGCACCACCCAGGAGTACCGTACGCCCAAGGTGTCCGCCTCGCTTCAGGCGGTGCTCGCCCAAGCCATGCAAACGGGCGGAGATGATATCGACATCGTGGATTCGCACACAAATTCACTGCGCAGCCGTCTGGAGAACATTATCAATGCGAATGCCAATGGAGGAGCTGGTCCTGGTGCTGGCACAGCTGTGGGTAGCTCCATTCCCAATGCTCGCAACATTAAGTCAAGCCGGGGGCAGCCAAGTGCCGCCTCAAATCTGGACTCGAACCGTCGTCCGCCCACGGGCCGTCTGCCGGCAAAGAAGCCAGCTTCGGCGTATCCCAAAGCCCGCGGCCTGGTCAACAAATAATCACAAACGATATTAATCAAATTGAATTGCATCTAACCATCATTGTGCAAACACAACACTAACCAAAGTATTTCATAGTCATCGCAATATGTACACCTCGGTATCCTAGCCCAATCTACTCACATTTCACGCTTTGTAAAAGTTTCCTTTTCGTTTGAGCCGTCCCAAGCACTGGCACTAGAACTATGAAGACTTTGCTTGAGTGACTTGGCCAGCCAACCCAACACTTCCTTAATTATTTTTATGTTTATTTGTTACTCGAATTGTATAATTGTTATTGATTTAATTGCGAACATACGTAAGTTTTGTGCTCGAATAAGTTGCGCGCGCATTCTATAATTATTTCATCGTGCAATCTAAGCTTAAGTTAAAACCAACTGCAACAGTCTATTATTTACTTAGTAAATGATTTTTAGTTAATATTATGTACCAAATAAAGCAACTCCGTAAACACAAAAAGAAAAGCATACTAGGTCGCATAGGTGTTTTGTATTGATAGGTCGGGAAACTATTAACTAGTCCTCCCTTCAAGCGTATTCAAAATGTGATGGATAAGAACTACAACGTTTATAGATAAATGCAGTTTCGTTTAATATAAATGCAATATTAAATACTGGACTCAGTTTGATTTCCATTTTCACTGAATTACTTTCAGAGAGCGACCGACTTCAATGAATGCATCAATGGCCCTGTCGATTTCAGCTTCCGTGTGGGCAGCGGAGATTTGAACACGGATGCGTGCCTTTCCTTGAGGAACCACCGGATAGCTAAATCCGATAACGTAGATGCCACGGGCTGAAATTTATGATTAGTTTAATGTGGAATACATAAGGCGATAGTTAAGTTTTCAACTCACTTAGCATCTCATCGGCAAACTTTGAGGCAAGACGAGCGTCACCCAGCATAACAGGGCAGATGGGATGATTCTCGCCGGCTATTGTGAATCCAGCCATTGTCATGGCCTGCCTAAAGCGCTGCGTGTTGCTCTGGACGCGCTGGGTGAGCTCGCTGGATTGGAGGAGCATGTCCATTACCTTCAGACCAACGGCCACCACGGCTGGCGGCAGGGTGTTGGAGAACAGATACGGCCTGGATTTCTGGCGCAGAAAGGAGATCAACTCGGCGGGTCCAGTGGTGTATCCACCGGATGCTCCACCCAGTGCCTTGCCCAGTGTCGAGTTTATGATGTCCACCTGACCCATGACATTGTCGTACTCCTCGGTACCACGTCCGGTGGCGCCAAAAAAGCCCGTAGCATGGCACTCGTCCACGAAGACCAGGGCATTGTATTTCTTAGCCAGCTCAACGATTCGGGCCAGTGGTGCGATGTTTCCATCCATGGAAAACACACCATCGGTGGCGATCAGCTTGAGCCGAGCATCGCTTGCCTTCAGCTGCTCCTCCAAGTCCCCCAAGTCCCGGTGCCTATAACGCTGTTTCTTGGCCTTGCACAGACGGATGCCGTCGATGATCGATGCGTGGTTTAGTTCATCGGAGAACACCGCATCCTCCGGGGTGAGGATGGCCTCAAAGATACCGGCATTGGCGTCAAAGCAGGAGGCGTACAGAATGGTATCCTCGCGTCCATGGAACTGGGCTATCTTCTTTTCCAGCTGCTTGTGTATATCCTGCGTGCCGCAAATGAAACGCACTGAGCTCAGACCCGCACCATACTGCTCCAGCAGCTTCTGGCTGTGCTCCACGATCTCCGGATTGTTCTGGGGGTCAAATGAAGCTCGTTGGAGGACATCAGTAGAACCAATCACTGTATTCAGTTTACTTACTGCCAGTCCTAGATAGTTGTTGGCGCAAAAGTTGAGTATCTTTTTATCGCTGCCTTGCACTGTTATCTGAGTGCTCTGCGAAGATGTGATGACTCGCTCCGCCTTAAAGGTGCCCGCCTCCTTAATCCCGGCCAGCTGGTTGCCCAAGATCTCCCTCAATTGAGCCTGAGCCGCTGCGCTATAGTGGCGTCCACCCACTGCGGACGAGTTGGAAAATATTTTGTCGGTTTTTAATTATGCAATTACTGTGGCTAATATTTACGAAATTTGTAATATCCTTAAGAAACGAAACCATGTATTCTCAGAGAATTTGTCAATTTTTTACAAGATATCAAAATTTGGGATATGTTCAAGGTGTGTAGAAATAGCAATGCACATGTTTCAACACATAGAGTGGAAATATTTCTTATTTTGACTATCTATAAATGGTTCTATTTTGAATTAATATTATAAATAGGGCTTGTTAATTGGCAAGTTATTTAGAAATAACCATATGGAATGACACGAGCTATATACGCAATACGGGCTTACCCCCACGAAAGAGCAGCGATTTTGAGAAAATAGACATAATAGAGATTGCCACTGGTTTTCCCTATAGATTTCTATTCGCGAATATGTATTTCTGGCTGGCTGGTGTCCAGATCCGCTCGACGACTCGCTCTTGACTAACTAGCAGCAACCAGCCGACGTGGACACACATGGCAACTGGTCTCCCTAGTTGGGGGCTTGAACTGCAAGCAGCTGATTTTTGTTTTTCACTTATAAATAGTACATGTATGTCTATATACCGCCCTCACTAGCTGTCTTTCATTCAACTAAATTGATTTAATTTACTTTCACTCTGGTTGTCATGGCGGCCATTTAAGTAGCATAAACAGCATGAGATACTTGGGCGCAAATGTATCTGGTATTGCAAATTGCTTCCAAGGTCATGAGCTTTGTTAAATTTAAGTCAAATCCCATTCAAAGATTATCTGCTTTAGTGAGCGAAGCTGATACTGCAATCTTCTAAAAATGCCAATTGCAATCTCTTTACAAATTAATGAAAGAAAAACTTGCAATAGTTTTATTACTTTCTTAGTAACATGTATTAGTTTGATATTATTTCTTAGTTTTAGCGATCAAGTTATCAACTAATTGTAAATGTAACTCGTTACGAGTATTTCGATGTAAAGTTCGAATGCAATACTATTCTTCAATTATATAAAAAAATCCAAAATGCAATAGATGTTAGGTTCTACCGAGATTTGAACTCGGATCGCTGGATTCAAAGTCCAGAGTGCTAACCATTACACCATAGAACCTCTAAAATTTTTTTGTCCAAATAGGCTTATAAAAATCATACAATGGAAATATTTAAAAAAATCGGAAATCGTGGCTCGAAAAACATTTGTTATCAGTTTAATGTAATCTGAAACGGGCTTGGGTCAATATAAGTAGAACGAAGCAATGAGGTGTCGGCAATGCGTTGATAGATGTTTGCTTAATTAACCAGATTAAACATTATTTGAAATATTTATTTCAAATTTATTATTTATTATTAGTTACCAAGTATATATCCCTTAGGAATATGCAAACAAAATGAGTAACGGGTATCTGATGGTCGAGAAAACAGCCTAATGCGTTCTCTCTTGTTATATAGTATATTAAGTATCAAAAGGATATATTTAAACTTAATTTCTTGAATAGATTTTTATTCACAATCGCAGCAGAAATATATGAGTAAATAAATGTATGAAATAGAATTCTGAAATAAATCTGAAAGACTTTAGTCTATTTCTATTACATCCATTTTAAACCCTAATCCATCGAAGTTTTGAGTTTTTTTAGCAACTATAATAAGGTTATTTTTGGCTATGGAAAACATATCTGGAATACTTGATCCACATAATGTTTTCACAAGTGTCTGGTCGCCAACGACGTTGTCATAAAATCGCACATTGTCCAGATCACAATTGGTCTCCGAGCCCATGTTGAATTCTATAAGGTACGCAATTAGTACTTGAGCATAAGTCAATGAATCAATTTCTAACCAGGAAAGCTAAATAGCAGGCGTCCGCCAGGTGGCACGGATATTCTCCAAGTGCAGAGTGAGCTGTTGCGACCTTCGTAGGAGGGATTCTCCAGATAACTGCCCACCGATCCACCAACCGCTAGATCACCACCACAACCGCTGGGAAATTGGTTGCTGGTGGAAAAGTAGAACAACCTGAGGGAGGACACTCCACGGCTTTCGAGCCGCAGCTCGTTGGTGGATGTAATCCTCGCTTTGGTTTCCCATTGAATGTTCGAAGTGCTGAAGATAGTCTTGTTTGATTGTAGATCCGTTACCTGTGTGGAAATGACGTGTATAATGGATTTGATCTTAAGTCGTATAGACTGCAGTCTTACCCTAAAGTAGTTATTATCGATACTGTCGAACAGCACAGTCATTATGTAGAGCGTTATGCTGTAACCTTTTGGAACTCGGATATACTCCGTGCAGTTGGAAAGAGTGTTGGTATCAATCACCTGACTCAGCTGCGTGTAGTTTCGATTGCACCCTGTAAGCCAAATATTTGAATTCGCCATTTGAATGAACCAGACAATATCCATTTTACACACTTGGCTTTCGGCGTATGATAACTTCAAACCCTTGCGATTCCTCGAGTCCGTCGCTGTGGAAAGCAATTTGTAGGTTGGATTCATTGACTTCTTCAACCATCGAGAAGCTTTTGTCGTGTTGTCCGCAATATGATCTAGAGAACTGTAAAAAGATGTTATCAGTGGAGGTTTCTAATAATACTTGTATGTTTTATATTACATGGGGTTTGGACAGTTCTATGTAGTCCGTGCATTTTCCAGTCCGCTGAGATATTTCCTTGAGGCGAAGCTTCCGGAAATCTAATTCCACATCGCCCTTATGCTTAATTGTCCAGAGGCATTGAATGCTTCCCTCGTAGACACTGGTGACGTTGTCGTACTGCATACCCAACGTAATCGTCTGTCAGGAAAAGTAACAAAAATGGGTACTTGAAAATAGGGTTTTTTCTTACCCTTGCATTGATTTCAGGCAGAAGTTGCAACGCAGCAAAGGAGTTATATAAAGTATATATATTCTTGATCTACGCAAACTAGTCTCTTAGATTTATGGGATTTATAGCTATAGGCATGAAACAATCCCGAAAGTCTTTTCTCTTTTGGGGCTAAATACTACCTTTCAACGGGACGGATGGTACTTTTATTTCATATAGTAGCTACTATAGGAATAATTGTAAACTGAATGGATAAAGAATTCGGCTTACGCCAGCTTTTGCGCTATATATTATATCGGGTTTAATTTGATCAAAATTGAATCATACGATCGAAATTGAAAATAGGGAATACTCTCGTTGTTTTTGATCACAAAGTGGGGAATTAAATTCATGATACTAAATTCATAATAATAATAAAATATATAAAATAAAATATAATAAATAAAATAACAAAAAATAAATTCAAAATAAATTCATAACTCATTAAATTGGTTCATAGACATGGATGTATATTATTCCGTCAATCCTACCTCATTCAACCGCATGTCGTACTCCGCTTGTCCACACACAGTGCGCTCCATTTGCAGGATCAGCTCAAAGCTAATGTTCCTCTGGGACTGACTGGTCCTAGCACTCAGCTTGAAGGACATGACCGAATAAGGACTAAACACCTTTGTCCTATTCGAGAGTATATTGCCACTTGTGCCGCCAAAGTACCTTCCAAGACTCTGGCCGTCGACACCTTCGCCGTCCTGGACTTCCAAGTAGCTGCAGGTGCGGCAGACGACGTCGTTTAGCTGCAGTTTGCGCACCTCCAGAGAAATGCGGTAATCTGGCGGAGCGCTGGCCTGGAAGTAGCACAGCAGTGGCTCGGTGTCATTCACCGCGTATTGCCGCATCAAGCTCATGCGCGGCACTTCCATGTCCAGGACCACGTGCTCGTTGCAATTGGGGGTGAAGCGCACAGTGGCTAGGAAGCCCCGGCGACTGATGGAGCCATCCGTGGACAGGACAATGAGAGCTTCGTTGCTGTTCACCATGATAGCTTCCAGATTAGTGAGATTGCCGCATAGGCGGTTCGTTCTCTGCTCCTCGCTGGCCACATGGCCGCGATAGATGGTTAGACTGTCGAAAGCACAATTCGCGTTGGACTCCATATCAAAATACTTGAACTCTATGACGACGGCATGCTGCGGAGGCGCAGTGACCCGCCATTCGCATTCCGTGCTGTGGGCATAAGCACCGGAGTCTTCATCCTGCAGCGGCTGCAGAGTGAAGGATGTGCTGTAATTGCCACCGCATTGAATCAGTTGGTATTGCAGGGTGAACCAGCGCGTAATTGGAGAGACATAATGCAAGCGAAGCCTTCCATTGCCTTTCACCTCAAAATCGGGACAGAGCCTGCCAATACTCTCCTCCACATCTCCATCGCCGCGCCGATAGGCATCGAAGTAGGATCTGTTGCAGACATACGACGCCCATGTACCTCTCGACCTCGCTCTGACCACCACTTGTTGGTTGTCCTTCGCATAGAATGTGTAACTGCAATTGAACTGCTGTCCGCGGTACGCCGTCCAATTGGGACTGCGGTGGGTTTGGAGCTCTGGTCCAGCTAGCAGTACGGCATCGCAACTGGGGAAGACTTGGAAACTGAAACCATCGCCCGTTATATTCGAATTCGTTCGGAATATCACTCGCATCCTGGTGGATGGCACCAGAATATCGCTAGCTGCTTGCCTGTTGCACAGACTAGTCACCTCCATGAAATCATTGGTCGTCCGATCGTAGCGCTGCACCGTCAATCGATCGGCCGAGCAGTTGGGTGAGTTCACAATGAAGATTCGTTCCAGAAAGTGTAGCCTCAGGGATAGGCCATCACTGGTAAAAAACTCCCATATGCGTTCTTTTTCGTTCAAGTAATTCCCGCTATTAATCGTCACCGGTGGCGATGGTCGGTGGTCAATGCGAACCGCATTGCCTTGGGAGATCGATTTCCATGCTTGCAGGATGAATTTACTTGACTGGGCGAGTCGGTCCTCCGAATGATAGAGTATCGTGGAGATCGAACGCTCCAGCAGTGTGCTATTCATTGCCATACCCCGGCATAGGCGACCCACTTCCGACTGACCGCTGAAGATCACAATGTACTCCCGATCGCACCGGTCCGTTAGGGATACATTGCCCTCCAGCACATAGCCGGCGCTGTTGCTCAGCGTCCAAAGGCACTCGATTTCACCATAGGCATCATTCAATGCAGTCAGCAGATCCGGGGACTCGATGGTGACTCCCTCAGCTGCCTGCATCCGTCCGCCGCAATTGTGTCGCCGGTATGTGGCCCGGAACCGTAGTAATTTCACGTTTATGCTGTTCAGAAGTGTTACACGTCCAGCGGCGCTGACCAGGGAGATATAACTATTGCTGACATTGGCGTGCATCGCCTTGACCGGCATATTCGAAATGTCGTCCCTGAACACAACTGCTGGGCCGCCGGCTGTTTGGAATATATACTCTTGCACCTTGAAGGTGAGCGTTGCACTGGCAGTAGCCACAAATTGAATGCTGCAATGGTAGCTAGGCAGCCGAAGGAGACTTTGGATGGAAAGGGATCCTGCGGCCTGATCTCCGATATTCGGCGGACAGACTGTTGGTTGACTGGAGCTGTACCGAGCTGCCAGCGCGGTGGTAGTTAAATCCAACAGATTGGTCAGCACAACGACGAGCATAAAGTTGTCTGTGGACTCAATGATTCCACTGCCGTTGTAGCCATCGATCCGGAATTCGGTGATCTTGGAGAGCGAGTTGCCGTCGTTGTAGAAGGAGAGGTGCGCCATACTATCTAATTGTGAAGTTAGTCTGGAGGATCTGCAAGAAGTTATTAAGCACAATAATATTATGCTCATAATTGGCAAATCGTTCTCTAACAGATAATATACAATAATACGTCTACATTTGTTAGGGCATTTATTTTCGTACTTACCCATTTGTTTCTTTCTGCTTGAGAACGCGAATATTGGCCAGATTCAGGAGCTTCAGCCGTACCCGCTGACCCTTCGGTACATTGATCCTCAAGCGGCAGTATCTAAGCCAGACTGCGTTGGGCAATTGCGAAATTTCGATGTCCCCTTCAGCTCCATGTATGTCCCTAGAGCACGTTCCCGCAAACCGCTCGTATCTCAACTTGAAGCCCCGATATTTGTTCACATTTTGAGTAGCCACAAAGCGAATGGTAGCCGCATTGGTGTTCAGGGTGACGAGAGTGGGCGTTACTGTGCTGCCATCCAGCACCAGTAGCTCTTGAGTTCGGTCCGCATAGTCGACTATTTCCAGGCGATCGCTGGTGTCCCTTGAGGATGTTCCATTTGCATCGTAGGGCAAGTGGAGATCGGTGATGTTTAAGCGAATGAACGTGTTCTTCGGCAAGAGAATGCTGTACTCGCACACCGACGGCTTGGGATATCCACCCAAATGAGGATAATTCTCCGAGCTGATGAACCCAGACAAGCCACTGAACTGGCCACCACATGTGCTCATTGACAGGTTCAGCCGAAAACCGCCAGTGGGCTCATTGAGCTGCGATTGAAAGTGGACCAGAAGCAGGTTGCCAGTTGTGCGTACCGTGGTCTGCGGCTTGCGACAGGTGCGGAGCAGGAGGCGGCCCAGCTTGGTGGCGCCATCAAACAACTGCACGTTTTCCTTGTCGCAGTGGCGGGCACTCAACTCGAAGTGCTCATCAAAATTGACTGCAATGGTCTCACCCACCGGCGCCATGACCAGCCACGTGCATTCCGCATGGGGATGCGGCAGATACGGATATCCCGGCGACATAATCGTATAGTTGGGAGCCAGCTTGGTCAACTGAATCTCGCCATTGCACTCATTGAACTCTCGATATGTGAGCTTCCAAAGGCAATGATCGCCAATTGTGGAACCGCCGATGTGGTACTTTATGTAAGCGTGTGAGCTGCTTGTCCGGAATCGCGTCTTTCTGATGCCCAGTTGGTTGCCAAACCTGCTGTGTTCAAGCAAAGGTGCAAATTCATCCAATCCATCGTAGATTAGACCGTATGCCTCACAGACGGCCCCTGACCGCATATCATTGTAATTAATGGTAATGTCTATTTTGCGCCCTGGTCGGACGTCGATATGCCAGGCACACTCATCGACCAGGTTGTCCTGCGGAATGGTGCCAACGATTCCCGTCATATTGGAGCCACAGACAGTGCGTAGCTTCGCCAGGAATCCAGTGCCGTTGACGGATGCATCACTATAGAACTGTAATCTCAGATGTGGCGTTCCGTGAACTGGGCCAACCTGTGATGTCTTGCAAGTACGCAGCACGTTGGTCCAGCGGCTGAGGTCAAGTGACCTCTGAATATTTAGATAATCGGCGAAACATTCGGAATAGTCCTCGAGATCCACAATAAATGAATGGGCGTATATATGATGTGAAGGGTACTGCGACTTTATGGTCCATTCGCAATTCAGATTAGTTTTGTAGCCGTGCGGGTATCCCGGCGAACTTATCTCGGTGTCGCCATTGTGGCTCAACGTAAGTTCCTGGGTACAACTCTTGGTGGTTAAGCTGAGGTTACTCTCCACCGAATTGCTGTCCAGCACGTTCCACTTTAGTCGAAAATGACTAAGTTCCTCATTCACAGTCCTCAAGTAAACCACATTGCTGCTGGAGGTAAACCTCCATGGACTGACGGGGATGTTGACCGCCAAAGCGTTGTCATCATAGCCATCAAAGAGCTGGAAGGGTTGTATGAAAACGTATCCTTGAATACCTTCTGCTATTGGCTAGCATGATCCGCACTTACCGAAAGGCCTGATACATATTCCTCAAACTGTAGCGCAAAAACCTTTCCGCGCTCCGTAAAAATTCGCCAGGAGAAGGGTTGATCTTCGCTGTTAACGAAGAGCGGCGGAGGAGGCTCGATTGTTCCATTGGTGCCACTTGTAAATTCGTTGTCGTGCACTACGAGTGGTGAAGACAAGAGGTATTCAATAGATTCAATAATTGGTCTAAGCTTATTCAACATACCGTAAGTCCAGCGGAAACGGAAACCCCCAGCGGTGTTGCCTGGCCTGCTGCGGAACTTGATCCATAACTGAGATTGGACCGCCAAGGGAGTCGCTGGTAGCTTATTATCGCAGTACAGACCCAGCAGTGGACCATGGACACCAGAGCGTATCTCTAGAAAGTCATCGTTGCAGTGCTCGGAGCGAACAATATCCATGGCCTCAAAGGTGACCTCCAAAGCATTGCCCGGTCGTGTCTGGATGGACCAGACGCACTCAATGTTGGCCGGATAAGTGTCCGGAAAATTGGGTGAGCTGATGCTGCCGCGGGCTGATGTTATATTCCCGCCACATGAGTTCTCAAACGTGCTGAACTTCGCCTGCAGCCTTATTCCGTGGGTCAGGATGCGCACATTGTTTGCTGGCACAATTATATTGGCAGGATGATCCCGACACATCTGGTATAGTAAAACCTGGTCGTCGTCATTGAGCAGCTGTAGACCCTCCGAGCAATTTGCCAAGGCGGCACCGCATTTGGGACACTCAAGCTGATTAATGCTAAGGCTCAGTTTGCTGCCCTCTGGGGAGGAAACCAGCCAGCTGCAGTCCTCGTCTAGGCGGGATTGCAGGTAGCCCTCACCAGTGGAAAGCGGCCCACCACACTGGCGCTCAAAATACATGATGAACCGTCCCCAGGATCCGGCCTGAGCCCTGAAACGGACTCGCAGCTTTTGTCCATGAACTATTCGGATCATTGGCGAGTCCTCGCCGCAGCTCCTCTCCAGAAATATCTCCTTGTTGTCCGGTTCCAGTTTCGTTAGTTCCACAAAGGTACGTGAGCAGTTGGCTGAATCCGTAAGGTTGAATTGTTCGAAATGCGGTCTAATGCCATACCCATTCGAAACCTGAAGGATTGGAACAAATATTTGGATAATCATTCGAAATTCTGGTGTTCTCAAACTTAATAGCTTTCAATAAGAATTGAAGAGATTAACATCAAGTCTTGTAAGGAATTACTTCTTTTTGCATTTTATAGAAATTAAACTTTAGGAAAAGCAACCTGAAAATGACGTACCTCTACAGTCCATACGCACTCAACGTTGGAGGAGTAATTCGCGACGTTGGTGCTGTCCTGGTAATTGTGGAATCCTGGCGTGGTCAGCATGCCACTGCTGGCAGATATGTATCCTCCACAATTGGCCGGCACCTGGATAAAGCTGGCTCTAAAGTACTTCTTAGACTGCGCCGAGCTGCTCACAAAGCGTATCACTAACTCATTTCCTGGCGAGGTAAAGTTTTGCGTCTGCGTCTCCTCGTGGCAAGTTCGAAACAGTACCACTGAGGAGTTGAATCCACTGGGTGCAGATATGGAGAGGCTAGACTCCGCATCGCGGCACTCGATCTGGGGGGCCTCGAAGTAGACTTCATGCAGTAGGAGACGGATCTGCTTGCCCTCCGATGCTGTAATAACCCAAACGCAGTCCATGTCCACGCTGAAGGGTGCATTCGGTGATTCAAATCCTCCGCCTGTTTCCCGAAAGTGCTCTCCGCAACCTATGCGCTTGTACTCGGCCCGGAATCCTTGCATTTCCACGGTCGAATCGCTGTCAAATCGAAGGAGCAACCGATTCCCCTCGGTGGTGATGGGGTCTAGGCCATCATTGGTGCACAGAAGTTTCTCGCTGATTTTTTGGTCGTCCAGCATGTCTATAACGGACACGTAGTCATGGCTGCAGCTGGAGAAAAATCGCTCCACTGACAAGTGGGAGAATATGAGCTGCAAGTGATTCTTCCGCCCACCAGCTCGAATATCCCATTCGCAGTTTATTTCTGGCGGATAATTTTCCGGAAAATTGGGCGTTTCAATGGCACCCTGCAGGCCTTCCAGCCGAACTTGACAATTGGTTTGGTAGTCCAGCATAAAGCCGGTGCCATCAGGTGCATCATCGCCAACATCGTAACGTACAAGGACGCGATTTCCGGTCGACTGCAGCGGCAGGGCAATCGACCCATTGCACCGCATTACTAGTGGCCTGCTGGCGGTGGTGGGTCCATCGTATAGGGTCAGTTGACCACTACATAGGCGGTTGTCATTGCTCTGAAGCTGCAGATTTACTCTGGAGCCCTCGGCGACGATGATCTGCCAGTCGCAGGCAAGGATCCCACGATTTCCCGCCCATAATTGCGGAGAATGGATGCTTCCCGTGGGTGAGCTCAGTTTGCCGCCGCATCCGACTCCGATCTGCTGCCAGCTTAAAAGGAATCCCTTCTGCTCAATGGAGTCATCTGATTTGAACTTCAGGTACAGCGCATTTCCAAATGAGGGAAGCGTGCTCGGAATTTCAGTACCGCAATAGCGTCCAATCAGCGGAGATGATTCAGAGTCGCCATTCCTGAAGTTGAAATCGAAAATTGGAAGGTAACAAACTCGTATGCCATAGCTTCGGTATCGGATTACCTAATTTCCAGCCAGTCCATACCGCATCCGCGGAAACCGTTCTCCAGCGTAAAATTCCGCACCACTAACTCTATGCGGTGGCCAAGGGGTGCTCTTAAAATCCACTCGCATGTTTCGGATTCTCCATAGTTCTTTGGCCAATTTGGAGATTTGATGTAGCCAGAGCGGCCAGTGAAGGTTCCTCCACAACTATCTATAGTAATTGGAATCAAAGCATATAAGTTCCTAGAGATAGAACCTGTCTTGTGATGTTATAGAAGTGTGGGTAAATATGATTTGAAACATCTTACCTTTTAAGGTAAACTCAAAAATTTCAAAAGTTTCAGAAAATTACTTGCCATTTCATTTTTCAATAGTACAAAAGTACATAGTAATAATAATAGTAAATAGCAAATAATATTTCCTACCTTGCTGGACAATGGTAACTCGAATTAAAAAAAGTCTGCGTGTCGATTCCGAAAGCAGGTTTATCGTCAAAAGATCTTCTTCAAATACATCTCTCATACTCCCAGAATAACTGCAATAATATTATATAAGCTCTTATTGTTTTCGGGGTCTACGTTTTCTACCTATTTATCAATTTTCCTGGGCTTGTGCTGTTATCATATATGGATAAAGTTCCGGATGACCCCACCGGGTGAATAGAGATGTCTTTCCTTCCGGGGAGGTCAATAAACCACTGACAAAATTTAGACCGAACGATTACTAACAAGCTTTCGCGGAGCTCTTTAAGAAATCCGCCGCACTTATTAGGAACAAAATCGTACTCAAGTCGCATTCCACGACCACCACCGGACCCGTGGAAGACCAGACTAGCCCGATTGGTGTGTGACAACAGGACCAGGTTATCCGTTGATTTTACAATATGCCGCTTTTGATCAGCCGCTAAATACGCCTGCAAGATTTAACCGTGAAAATATAGTTTTCGGATGACAGATATCACTTACGTCCAAATAAAATGTATCATTTTCATTATCGGCGGTGCCCAGCGATAGGTCTGTGATTCTGAATTCAACAGCTGTATCCAGAGGCCCGGTGAAGTTGTAGATGCAGGTGATGTCATCGGGATATGGACCCGGATAGTTGGGGGTACTGATTTCCCCAGAATAGGTATCAAAGCTACCAGTACACACTGCAAAAAAATGATAGACGTAAGCAACTGATTTTGGTTCATACATCTTATTAACTATAGTTGCCACTAATCTGTGATCAATGAATTACCTCTTGTGTAGGTTAAATCGAAACTTTTCCCCAGCCCCACGCCGCTCAAAGCGTATTCATGGCGCACTAAAATCACATTTCCAGTGGATATAATCGGCTCCAGTTCACTTTCCTCGGGACTACCACAGATGCGTCGTATGAGGGGCGAATCAGTTGTCCTTCCGTCAAAGATTTCGATGTTCAGAAGGCTACAACCCAACGTTTCCACAAGATTAGGACGATCGATCACCAGCTTCACTTGCGTCCCCCGTGGCTGTTCGATTAGATAAAGGCACACCTCGAAGTCCATGTAACCGGAGATGTGACCCCGCGACTCCGTGAACACTCCTCCACAGCCGGGCTGGCCCGGCACCACTTCGTAGTGCATCTGAAAGGAGCTGTCCGAACCAATGTCGTCCGTGTGAAAGTCCAGGCGCAGGCTATTTGAGGAGCTATACAACGGCGCCGGCTGAAGTGACTGACAGGCACGCAACAACTGGCGATCCGAGTCGTAAACGATGAGCGAGTCCTCGCTGCAGTTGCCGGCAGATGCTTCGCTGCTGCCCAGAGATATGTCGTAGAAACGCAGGAGCACCCGGTAGCCAAACGGCGCGGTCAGTTGCCAGCGACAGTCGAGTTCCGGTCGCGCATGACCGGGATAGCCCGGAGATCGCAGCACGCCCGACTGCGTCGATGTCAGATTAATAGTTTCGCCGCAGGAGAAGGGCAACGAATTCCAAATGACATGGAAGCCCTTGCCTTGCGTCTCGTTGTTGGAGCGGAACCAGAAAAATGCCTGCTCCTGAGTGGTGATAACGGTGCCGTTTGTCATGGGCAAGCGAGAGCCACAGAACCGACCAATCAAACGGGAGGTCAGGGCGTTGCCATCGTGCAGTTGCAGAAAGTCGGCGGTGCAGTCGGCACTATCCTCCAGCTGGAACTGGGTGAAGGTCAGGTTCAGCACCAGGTTCCGATTTGTGCGTATGATGAAAGGGCAGCGCTCATCGGCCTGGTAATCGCCGTCAGATGTGTTGGGTGGGTAATGCAGCTGGCCCGAAGGTCCATGTATCGTGCTTCCGCAAAAGAATCGCTGATGGGAGCAGATGGTGCCGGTGTAGCTGCGTGGGCAAACGCATTGGTACTTGGCATCCGGCAATAGGCGGCATGTTCCACCATTTAGGCAGGGACTTGGGTGGCAAACATCCGACGAGCTGCACACAGCGCCGCTATAGCCAGGCTGGCATATACACGTGGTTCCTCTTCCGCTCTGGACGCAGGTGCCATTGTTCTGGCACGTATGCTGGTCGCAGGGCAGTCGACTGGGGTCGGCGGTGCATCCATCGGCACCATAGCCATGTCCAAAGCTGCCCAACGGGCATGTGCACACCACCATATCGGATACGTACTCGCACTTGGCCAGCGGATGGCAAATGCCCTCATTGTTGCAGGAATTGGAATCGGAGGCTGTGCATGTTCGTCCGTCGCCTGTCCAACCGGGTGGACATCGGCCACAGCGATGGGAGCCCTCTGTGTTGGTGCAGATCACCCGTGGCTGGAGGCTACAGCCGCCATTGTCCTCGCCCGCACATTCGTCTATGTCGCGGCAGAAGCGCCCATCGCCCGTGTATCCCGCTGGACAGGGTCCGCATCGAAAACTTCCCGGCAGATTAATGCATTCAGCGTGGCAAGGATTCACGTGCGGCTCACACTCATCCACGTCTCGGACGCAGGCACTTGGGCTGGCGGAGGTCGCATTGGCATCCGCCCAAGTCCATCCCTGATCGCAGATGCACACATAGCCTGCAGAATTGCCCGCCTGAATGCAGGTGCCATGCTCGCCGCAGAGCTCCCGGGAACCGCCTAGCAGACAAGTGTTGTGACGGAGGCGGCAGTTGGTGCCAGTGAATCCATTGCGGCAAACGCACCTAGATCGGCAGTATGGAGCTACACATTTAATTTCTTGGAGTTGGAACATCTCGCCGACTTACCGGTAACTTCCTGGTGTGTTAATGCACTGCCCGTTGTTCAGACACCCATCGAGATCTGTGCCGGACAAGGTGAAGCACTCGTTTACGTCGTCCTCACAAGTTGATCCCTAAATATAATAAAAATATCATGTAGATATTTAAGTTTTTGTTGTGAGAAGCCTTTCATATCTTCATGCTGATGTTGAAAATTACATTATCTGATGAAACGCCCTGAAATCTTGAATCCAAAGTAAACGTGTAATTTGAACTGCTTCGCTTTCTAACTTTTTAGCACTCGTACTTACCGAGATAGGAATAATCGAAAAATAAATGAAAAAATGTACCTTCGTAGTTTCTGCTACAATACTTAATGTACATATATACAAATATGCATTTTATAAATATGCACATATTTGACGTAAATTGTTCAACAGTTGTTTTTGATTAACATTATTATATAAAATGCACTTTTATTGCTCTCATTTGTGGGTAAGCCAACGAGTTTCCAATCATATGAGTTTGTTCCATGTAAAAATACGCCCCTTAATCTCGTGAGAGACGCCCCCGCTTACTCACTTCCCATGCCGCAGGGCACTCGCACTGGAATCCCTTGTAGGCATCGTGGCAGGTTCCGCCGTTCTTGCACGGATTGGATACGCACTCGTTTCTGGCCAGGTTTCCCGCGAGGGTCCACAGGATTCCCCTGACGCGTTCCACGCGCTGCAGGTGCCGGCGCAGGAGGCGTTGATTGAGCCCACTTCTTCCCGTGTTGTTTCTCGCATTAAAGACCCTTCGCTGTAACCTCGTCATTTTGCGCTCTACATCCTGGAACATATCCTTAACGGTCTCCACCAAGATGGGCTCCCTTTGAGCCGCCTGCCGATCCGTAATAATCCTTTGGCGCCGCCGAAGCATACTCATTATGTCCACATCATTGATGGTCACGGTGGCGGATTCACCCATCAATCGCAAGGTTACATTCCGATCCCAAGCCGGCTCGAGAAGTAGATTATCGTTCCATTGTCTCACGAGATGGGCACGCTGTTCTAGATTGTCCCCAGCTGAATTCGAGGGATGGAATTGCAAGCACAACACTAGTAAGAAGGTACATTTTAGTGACCTAATTAGCATTTTTCTTCATAATTTTGTTGTGTCACAGTTCACAATAAATGGTATTCCTTAAGAACTGCACTTTAACATATGACGGGTAGATCGAGTTTTTACGATTTGGTCCACACCACTGGCGATGCTCACGAAAACTGGCACCAGACAGACTCGAGTCTCGCATTTTATACTGCCAAAGAGTGGGCGTCTACGATTGAGAATCATTGGGAACTGCAACGGAACCGCAATCCCAGGGATCGCAACCCAAAGCAGCTTGTCGCCATCAGCCGGAGGCGCCACTGAGCAACAACTACGCTGACATCATACTGAAACGCCGCTCCTTGTACATCATTTTACTGAGGAATGAATTTTGGTGCCGTTGAAGTCTTTTAAATGAAAATTAAATTTATTTACTGCAGTTACAAAATATATTTCTTGTTAAATATGATTTGTTAACGAATACCATTGATACACAAGAGACGTAGCACTGTATTTGATTGCCAACTAGGTTGTGATTTGATTTCCAATTACCAATTTTCATACGAACAGAACAGTGGTCTTGCGAACATTTGGCTGCGTTAGTGGCCTTTGCTGGCACAGCTCTTTTCCTTTTGCCCATTTGTTTGTTTAAGATATGTATATAACAACTTTTCACTGGCGGCCCTTTTTGTGGTTTTAATTCTGTTTAGGCGCGAACTCGGTGGTTCAAAAGCTCGGTGTAGTTTCTTTGTCGATGTTAAAATGTGTTCCACAAGACTGTTATGTTAAGCTAACGGGAAAAGCTCCTTTTTGTTCCACTCTAGAGAGTCTACCACTGGATGTGTGCATACGTATGCTCATGTAAAGTAAATTTGACAAAATAGAGAGGTGGTCAATCAATTTCTTAACAAGAATTTTATATTGTATTTTAAATATTTTTTATAAATAAATATTTTAAAATAAAAATTATAACATTTCAAACACTTGTGTGAATTTGCCTGGTTATTTGTTCAAGAGGGATGCCAATGTGATCTTGCAAGTAATCACACTTAAGAACACATACACTACACTCACTGTTCGACCGGTAAGAGAGATCACTTGAACTATTTTGTGACTCGAAATTAGAAGACATGCCTTACAGTCCTCACTAGAACTAGTTGGGAATTATAGGGATACAAGAAAATATTTTTCCTAAGCAAATGTTAAGAGCGGCAATAACTATGTGTTCCGCCAGTAAGTTAAACATTCTTCAGGCTTTAATTAAGACAATTTTTACTACTTTGTGCAAGTAACACATACACTACATACATACATACATACATACATACATACATACATACATACATACTTGGGGAGTGGCGCGAAGTGTTCGAAGACGGCTGCATCATGTTGGCGCTCCCGGAAAAACTCCAAAATTTTCCGCGCTGAGTCGGCGGGGACGCGCCAGGGGCTGCGGCCTATATCAGCGATGCTGTCCAGTGCACTTACCCGGTGAGGTCACGATCTCCGGAGTTCCATGGACCGTCCGCCGGCTGAGACCTCCAGGGCCATGGGATAGGTCAGGGTGAGAGAATTATTCGGAGCTTTCTCTTCAGTTTTCTCTTTCGTCCCCCTTTCTTCTTATTTGTGTGTGCAACGCGTGATGCAATGTCACGCCAGCTGATCTAAGTCAGCTGTTTACCCAGTGTTGGAAAACGACAGCCGCAAGCGTCTCCAACCACAGGTGGCGCTGTGGTTTGCGGGGACTTCTTATCGCTAACTGTCAACAGCTACTTGCTATGCAACTCGACAAACGATCTTGGCGCTGGTTGTAGCATACTTTCCTGGGCTGCTGATGAGAATCCTTGACGACAACTCATGGAATCACAGTGATAATTGACCCAAAAGACTCGGGCTCGTAGTTATAGGTGTTAAAAGTCAAGGAGCAGACCAATAGCCAACCCCACCGCGCACGCGGGACACCCAAAGCAGGGGCACTGGCGACCGAGCTGGAGCGGTATAACTCCCACCGTGGAAGAACCCTTTTCCCACTTCTCACCATCTCACCGAAATCCACGGAGCGTCTGACCCATAATGGGCGGCTCCGTGGTCTGCGTCTGTGCCACAATGGCCGGCAGTAATGTAAACCTGGCAGTAGGTATAAACTGCAAAACAAACCTGGCAGTAGGTATAAAATGCGTACACGAGTAAAGAATGTCGATTATTAACAGCACTACTCCAGGTGGTAACCAATCAGTTGGCAATCCACCCGTGGAAAACTCCACGGCAGGGGCACGGATTCTGGAGGCCCCAAATCTCATTCTGAACCAACCTGGCGAGGTGGTGGCAAGCTTGGCCGCCTCGACAGCGAAAGCAACAAGCCAACAAGAGAAGGGTATGGACAACGCGGGGGCTTTCCAAAGTAGTAGGAAAATCCTGCGCTCGCCGATCCTGCCAAGGGCACCTGCGCCGCTACAGGCTGGCGGGTCCAACCTTGCCGAGGGAGTAGATATGCAGGACACGCCAAAGCGGGCTCGGACCCCAAACAGCCCCTCCGGATCGAGTCGAAAAACACCCCCAAAGAGGACGAAGGCCGATAGACAGCTCCTGTGTGCCGGTAAGCTGTCAGAAATCGGACTGGTCTTGGATCAGCTTATGATCCTGACCAATGTCAAGCAGGTGCGACACATCAACGTCCAGATGATAGCGATGTTCGCTAAAATGAAGGCCCTTCAGGAGGACGCCAGCAGGGAGCTGGAAACGGAGTGTGAACCAGGAAACGCACCTACGAATGCCTTGCCGGGATGCCCCAAGTGCGGGGGGAGTAAAGCGAAAACCGTGGATAAGCTACAACAAACAAACCCCAGCCCAAAAAGAGACAGCTTCGCACAAACGGACGCTCCCTACCCGTCGAAGCAGCACTCAAGAAGCCCAGGGGCAGCCCAAGCCCCACAGAGGGTGAAGCCGAGGGAGAAGCGAGCCAGCCCTCCAAAGCGGCAGGCGAAGATAGCGGAGAAAGCAACGGCACAGCAAGCTGAAACTCAGAGTCGTGGCAAGCAAGACGCGTGGACGAAGGTGGAGGCGAGGAAGAAAGCACGCTTGACGCGGAGACCCGACGCGGTGATTGTGGAAGCAAAAGGCAAGACCTACAGCGAGGTCTTGGCTTTGGTTACGAGGCGAAGTGACGGCCAACTGCAGGAGCTTGAAAAGAGTGTCCACAAGGTCCGCTGCACAGCGAGCGGGAGCTTATTGCTCGAGCTGAACAGGGATGGCGACAGAAAAGCAACGCTGATGAAGAGCGATCTAGAAGCAGTATTGGACGGAGTTGCGACTGTGCGAGCGCTGTCAAAGGACTCGAGGATGCAGTTCCTATCGGTTAACGACTTGGACCCACTAGTCGCTGCAGAGGACCTTTCAAAGGCGCTGGCGGACCAGTTTAATATTGACCCAAGCTCAATAAAGCTGAGAAGCCTTCGACCCTCCTTCAGAGATACCCAAACGGCAACAATAGGCCTGCCGTGTAGGGAGGCGCAAGCGGTCCTGGCCAAGGGCAAGCTGAAGGTGGGATGGACAGTCTGCAGAGTCAAGGAGAGCGAGGCTAGACCTAGGTGCTTCAAGTGCCTGGAGTTCGGCCACATTGCGGTACGATGTAAGAGCCCTGCAAATCGCAGCGACTGCTGTCTCAAGTGCGGACAAACCGGGCACAAGATAGCCAGCTGCACACAAGAGGCCAAATGCTTCCTATGCACCAGTGCCAGGAAAACCGACGCAAAGCACATCGCGGGTAGCAGAAGATGCCCTATGAGTACCAAGCCACTGAGAAAGTGAAGATTATCCAAATTAATCTCAACCATTGCGAAGCTGCGCACCACCTGCTGAGCCAAACCATGCGCGAAACTCAAGCCGACGTTGCTCTTATTAGCGAGCCATATATAAGAACCCCGGGGATGGACTACATACTCGACGAGACAAGGAGCGCCGCGATCCTGACAAACGGGGTAAGCCGACCAAGGAACCTGCGCATCGGCTCATTCTATGTCCGGGGGGTGGTTGGTGACCTGTGCCTGTACAGCTGTTACCTACCACCACGCCTAACCCTTCAGGAGTTTTCAGCAATTATAGAGGACCTGGCTAACGACGCAAGAGGAGAGCGGAACGTGGTCATCGCGGGGGACTTTAACGCCTGGGCGGAAGAATGGGGCTCAGTCCACACGAACGCAAGAGGACGAACCCTCCAGGAAGCGTTCGCGTCGCTGGAAGTTGCTCTCTTAAATACGGGATCGGAGCACACCTTCAGCAGAGCTGGAGCCGGGTCGGTAGTGGACCTTACCTTTTGCAGTAGCTCGCTATTCCAGCGCGCACAGTGGTCCCTCAGCGACGTATACACGGCCAGCGACCACAAAGCGATAATCTGTGACCTTACCAGCAGAAGATGCACCGCAGCCCCACCAACGCAGAGACAATTCAACCCAAGGACGCTCCAGCGGGACACGTTCCTAAGGGAACTTGGGAATCCTGACATCGGCGGGAACGCAGTGGACAGCGTGGAGTGTCTCACTCGAGCAGTTGAGACGGCATGCAGAGCCAGTATGAAGGTGTCGAGGAGCCATCACCGTCATCGGGAGCCAGTCTATTGGTGGACAGAGGAGATCGCAGAGGCACGCAGAAATTGCCTACGGGCAAGACGGCGCCAGCAAAGGGAGCAGGGCCTCCCCAACTATGAGTTCCGGAGGCAAGAATACGCGGTAAACCGTCGGATCCTGAAGAGACTCATCAAGCAGTCAAAAAGGAGATGCTTCCTGGATCTATGCGATTCAGCCGAGCAGGACCCATGGGGATCAGCGTATAAAATAGTAATAAAAAAGCTAAGCCAAGCGAAACCTCTGAAAGCCGGAGACGCCGCCCACATGACGGCGATCGTGGAACACCTGTTCCCAGCAGTGCCCTTGGCTCCGCAAGCTGCAGACGCGGCTCCTGCGGACGCATCGGCACTGATATTCACAGCGGACGAAATACGCAAGGTAGCCAGGGATTTGCCATCGGGAAAAGCACCAGGGCCAGATGGAATCCCGGACATCGCCATCAAGCTAGGAATGAACGAGCACCCGGAAGCCTTCGCAAAGGTTTTCAACCAGTGCCTCACGGAAGGCCTTTTCCCAAAGCGCTGGAAGAGACAGAAGCTGGTACTCCTTCCAAAACCAAACAAGCCTCCCGAGAGTCCATCGTCATACAGGCCGATATGCCTGATTGACCACTTGGGCAAAGCTTTCGAGCGATGCCTGAGCAGTAGACTGCAGGTAGCCATCTCCGCTGCAGGGGACCTTTCGCCAATGCAGTTTGGCTTCAGGAAGGCGAGATCTACCGTGGACGCGATCGCTACAGTGAAGGAGATCGCCTCGAAGGCAGTGCAAGGGACCAGGTGGCAAGGAGGCACCAAGGAGTACTGTCTAGTGGTGACACTAGACATCCGTAATGCGTTCAATTCGGCAAGATGGGACGTCACCATAGGAGCCCTACGGAACCTAGGCGTACCGGATGCATTAGTGGGCATTCTTAAGTCATACTTCAGCGACCGAGTACTAGTCTACGACACAGAAGGGGGCACACTGGAGCACAGGGTAACCTGCGGAGTCCCACAAGGCTCAGTACTTGGGCCACTGCTGTGGAATGCGATGTACGACGGGGTGCTGAGATTACCACTACCAGGAAGAACCAAGGTGATCGGCTTCGCCGACGATATTGCCATAGTAATTGTGGCAAAAACAGTTCGGGAAGCCGAGGGCCTTGGTAACGCATCTATCTGCACCATAGTGGAGTGGCTCACATCGGTCGGGCTAGATATCGCAGACCACAAAACGGAGGCCGTGCTGATATCCAGCCGCAAGCAGGTCGAGACAGCCACCATCCAAGTCGGTGGCGCCACCATCACGTCGGTAAGGGCAATCCGGTACCTTGGAATTATGCTAGACACCAGGTTGTCGTTTAAAGAACACCTGGCGGAGACAAATCGGAAGGCGGCGAGCGTCGCTAGGGCCCTAGCACGAATAATGCTCAACTGCAGGGGCCCTAGGCAGGGACGCAGGCTTCTGCTACAGTCTGTCTGTAGGGCGACAGCACTATACGCAGCCCCCATATGGGCCGAAGCTACCAACAGGCAGTCTTACATCAGGGGCCTGGAAGCGACGCACAGACTGTGTGCCCTGAGAGTGTGCTCCGGTTTCCGGACAATATCGGATGACGCAGCCCAGGTCATAGCTGGGACCATCCCAATAGACTTGTTGGCGGTAGAGGCAAAGGAGATCTTCGACGCGATTAAGCAGATCGGAGAAGAGTGCAGCACTGCTCAGAGGCGAGCCATAAAAGCCAACGCCAGAGCTCATAGCTTGGAAAGGTGGCAGAGTCGGTGGCAGCAGTCGACGAAGGGGCGTTGGACCCACAGGATTATCCCGGACGTGACCAGATGGACCCTAAGACGCCATGGCGAGGTTAACTTCTGGCTGACCCAGATCCTAAGCGGTCATGGGTGTTTTAGAAGCTATCTAACCAGGTTCGGCCACGATGATGACCGCAACTGCCCAGAATGCGGCGTCGAGGAAACTGCCGAGCACATCATTTTTGATTGCCGGAGATTCGACCGCGACCGGGAAGGCTTAATGGGGAACATAATGGAGCCGTCGACCCTAGGGGAGCGCATGATCTCGGACCAGTGTTTCTGGGACCAGTTCAGCAAGTTCGCTGCGGACTCGATGAAGCGGTTGCGTGCAGCTGAGAGGGAAAGAGCCAGAATACGCCCACCGGATTAACTTAGAGCGCACCCTGGCCCTGCGAAGCATAGCCTAGCGGTAGTACCGCAGGGACTTCAGGATCTACCTTGTTCCCTTTATTCCAAACAACCCGAACCCCTCCTCCTCCTCCCTCCCCAACCACCCGCAAACGTGTATATATTTGTATATCCTCAATCAACCCAAATAAAACCTGATTTAAAAAAAAAAAAAAAACATACATACATACATACATACATACATACATACATACATACATACATACATACATACATACATACATACATACATACATACATACATACATACATACATACACTGCTCGACCGGTAAGAGAGATTATTTGAACTATTTTGTGACTCGAAATTAGAAGACATGCCTTACAGTCCTCACTAGAACTAGTTGGGAATTATAGGGATACAAGAAAATATTTTTCCTAAGCAAATATTAAGAGCGGCAATAACTATGTGTTCCGCCAGTAAGTTAAACATTCTTCAGGCTTTATTTAAGACAATTTTTACTACACACCTTAAAGACCTCACTATTTCATTCACTAATATAATTATGACAAAATAATAGATTATTATTTAATTACTTACAGCTCGAGATTAATTTAGTAGCACTTTGGTTTTGGTTTTTCACTGCCGGCTGAGTTTTTTTTAGCTTCTGCAGGCGCTGGCAGCTCATTTATGATCAATACAATTTCTGCAGTGGGACATTAAAGAACAAATGGCAGGGTCAAATTATGCAATGCCAAAGAGAAGGCAGATACCGTGGATTCACTCTTTCTACGCCAACTGGATCGTTCCTTTTTTCTAGTTCACAAGAACTATCTTTTTTAAACGGACACATCGATTGTTCGGCAACATCAATGTTTAGCAACATAAATGTTTATCTATTATGTTGTTGGGCATCTATGTTTTCTCTTTCGATAACACTAAGCATACAATGGTTTAAACTTTAGACTAATTAATGTTTTTATTCGCTTGGCTTTCAATCACATTGACTCAATGCCGAAATGTGGGCGAACTGATCTGGTAAGAGTCAACATATAAAAAAGGAATATAACAAAACTAAAATGCAATTTCGTCCCTTAATGCCCATTAAATTAGTAGGCAAAACGGGTGTCCGGGTGGTAGCCAAGTTTGTCCAGCGACGGATTGCAGGCAAAGTTAATCATGGGTGGTGGGCCGCAAAGCAACACAATGGTATCGTCCTTGGCCGGAAGCAGGTGGGCGGCGATCATATCCTCATTGATGAAGCCAACACTGTACTGCCAACCTAGATACAAAATATGAAGTAATATCAATATTAGTTAAGAATTTAAAAGCGTACAAGTGTTCTTAGCAAGACCTGATGCACACAATCTTTCCCACTGGCTCAGCATTGTAAAATTAAATCAAAACACAAAACATAGTATCTATGTTCTCAGCTGGATTAACTCCTAATAGCTGAACCGCTGCTCGGCCCGGTGACCAAGCCGTTCCAGGCCCGGAATGCATGTATAGTTAACCATGGGCGGAGGACCACACAGTAGGCACAGCGTGTCCTCGTCCGGTGCATACAGATGCTGCTGCATCATGTCATCGTTCACGTGTCCAGTGTTGTAGGACCAGGCTACAAAGCGCGCGTTTCCCATTCGCGGCATGCGTTTGATAGCAGCATGGTTCAAGGGGCAGACACAAGATTCTTAACATAATAGATGCTTGGCAAATGGCTAAGTGATTCTCCTGATGGTGATGGTGATGCTACATGCGAGTGTGACTGCCTGGATGAAAGGGAAAGATTGGTGCAGCCTAACATGTAGTATTCTATTCTGCACCTACTATAAGTGAAATTTCCTAAACGTTGCTTGAAACAAAGATTTGACATTGGTATTACAATCTTTAAAAGTCCATGATTCTAACAATAAAAAAAGCTTGTTTGCTTGTCTTTGAACGAATACGTAAAGCCAACAACCGAACTAGACAATGATCAAATGATGCGATCAGATGAAGACGTGAATGATCTAGGCATGAGCTGTTTAGCTCTTTTATTACTGCAACTCACCTTCGTTGGCCTTGTCGACAGTGTACCAGACCTTAAACTGGTCAGGATGCTTCTGGGCCAGTTCGTCCAGCTCGGCACGCAGCAGAATGTCCTTTTCGCTCTTTGATGCAAGGAATACAACAATGTTAATTTACTTGGCAAACTAAAGTGCTCGCTAATTACCTGGTTGGCGAAGAGCAACGCCAGTTCAGTCTTATCCTTATCGCTGCGCTTAAGCACTTCCCTGGCCAATTGGAGCATTGGAGTAATGCCAGTGCCGCCGGCAATCATGTTGACCCGCTTGGCGGTCACGTGCTTGGGCGGATCCTTGCGCAACTTTTTGATGGAGAAGGTGCCATTGCCGAGATATTGTAGCCTTCCCGAGGGACCACGGAACGAGATCTTGTCCCCCAACTCGAGCTGCTCCAGATGTTGCGTCATTTTGCCGCCGGCCGGAAACTTAGGATGCGTGTCCTTGAAGTACACCTTGACGACTAGGTCCACGTAGCCCACATCCTCATCGGACGATATCGGAGTGTATGGCCGAATCACCAGCTCATTGTCGATGGTGGCGATCAGATGAATGTGCTGACCAACGGGCAGGCCAAGGACGTGCTGCTTGGAGGGCAAGCCAAACCGGAATCTCCTAGTGTCATGGCTCAGATTCTCCTTTTCAATGAGGGGCAGCAGGTACTTGTCGTTGGGATCCACAAGCGTGCGCAGGCGGGCGGTGCGATTGGGTTCCCGGCGTGGTTTCGTGGACTTTTTATTTAGGAAATAGTGGACAATCAATGCGCCGGCGAGTACGGCGACTACACCCACGGCGAGGGGCACAAACTGAAAATAAATAGGCAAAGGTTAGATAGGTGGAATAACTAGTTCATAACACTTATATGTAACATCAAGTCATTGTTAAAATCGGGTTATGTGCCCATTACCTAAATAATTTGGCCATATTTTAATACTTTAAACTAACCAGGACCATAGACAGTTTATTTTAAGCTGATTGCACAGATTGCATTTTGGTTTTAAATATAGCATAACAGTCTTATCTGCAACACTTCACTCAACCTAATCTTCCATAGTACATGACGGAATGCGCTGCAAGCCTGTTCACGTAATAATAGTAAAAATCGAGAGGAATGGAAATATATACATATATGTATGTAATATATGTCCATCTACTACATTTCGCGAAAGCGCAATTTGTAGAAAAATGGAGAAATCTTTAGTAAATATATTTTAAGTGAGATATTTAAATTATTGAACGAGATTATTATAATGTATGTCTTTAGGCGAGTCTAAATGATATCTTCTACTTTCATACATATCTATCTACTTATACATATGTGCAATGTGTATGTTTGTATGTAGGCTAAGCGGTTCTGTCATCATTGATTGGTATGTACTTATGTGCATTGTTTTTAGTTAAGGTAATTTTTAGCCCAGTAACGGATGAGTTAAGACTTGGTATTGCGTTTAGTCTTACAATGGGCTGATTCTCGATTTTATGAAAGGTCACTGCGACTGGTGGAAACTACCGGTAGTGATAAGAAAGTCACAAAAATATAAACACACATCTCGCATAGAGATTATTTGCACTCGACACTGATATTTGCGATTGCGAAGGCGCCCTCTAAAAAACAGCTGCTAATTGGGGTTACTAGCTTGAGACATCCAACTTTGGCCCCATATCAAAAGCGACCTTGGTTTTTGCATTAATATACATGAGTGTATTTTTTTTTTTTGCTTTGGCCACAAGTCTGAAACCCATTAGCCATGACGTCACACGCACTGGTTGATAAACAGAGAGCACGAGTTGGAAAAGAGAAACGGATAGAGTGCATGGAAGGGAAATGGAATTGGAGGTAGAGAGACGCTTGCACTTGAACTTACATCAATATCCGTCATATTATCAGGAAACACTTGCTACAAACTGACTAATTGCCGATTTGAATTGCACACACAGCAAATCGTGCGACCGCGTGCCGCCGATTCCAATTTCCAATTGAAATGAAGCCAAGTCGTCGCGTGAAAGCGCCGCTACAACTACAACTACAGTGATGGCGCTCTCTCCTTCGCTCTCTGCGATTGAGATGCGGAGTCAGCCCGGTGCACTGTGAAAAATTAAACCCTTTTTTGGGCCAAACAACATTTTCTGAAAGTCGGAATATTAATACAATATAATATTAGTGTTGCATAACATAAATAAAAATATGTAGATGGCAACACAACAAAGAAATCAGCTGATAAGAAACAGCTGTTGCGCGTACAAAGAAAATTTATCTGCAACAATAAGCTTCCCCCCCCTTACAAAAGTTGTAATATTTTAACAAGCAAAGCGTTAATTTCCATTTACATGTATTTTATTGATTACGAGACTAGGAGTATTTCGGAATGGCAAAGGTTGCTTTGATTGATAGTGATTGATAGATTTGGCCAGTTGCAACCGCTCACCACCTCACCGTGAATGTGGACAATATGTTAGTTTTTCGGATAAAATCAAGGACGCCTTTAAATCATAGAAAAAATTGACGACAACGCTTTTTCGGTTTCCTAGGCTGCGGCTTGGAGTGCAGCGCCTGCGCTTCAAACACTTCAAAATCGTAATCCCCAACAGAATTTAAACGCAGTATTGCCGCTTTGTTGCCGCAGCGATAGCAATAGTTGGGTGCTGACCAGATGGTCACAAGCTGTTGCCCAAAATGCCACCGAAAGCCATCCCTGGCCAACTGGTGAGCTCTGCATATGAGAGAGATGCCATTGTTGCGGGTGAACTCCTCCACGACATCGCCACCAAAGAGTTTTCCGTGCCCACGTGGCGACGCCGTCCATCCAGGCGTTTCCTGGGGATCGCTCCAGAGGAGATCAGCTATGACTCCACTTTCGGGAATCTCGTGGCAGCGGTCCAGTGTACGAAATTCATCCAATCGCTGGATATCCGGCGACAGGCCGCCATGAACGCAAAATATGTGGCCATCAATTATCGCCGCCAGCGGCAAGAGATCGAAAACACGGCAGCACATCCTCCAAACATTCGCAGAGCCGTACTGTGCAAGGCACTCGTCGTAAAATCCATAGGATCGAGTGGCACTGCGACACTCATGGTTACCCCGTAACAGGCTAATCTGTGCCGGATGTCGCACCTTGAGAGCAGCTAGCATGAGAAAGGTCTCCACGCTGTTTTTGCCGCGATCCACCATGTCACCCAGGAACAAGTAGCGATGTTGCTGCACCGATCCGCCCAGTTCCAGCAGGTGGAGCAGATCCTCGAACTGCCCGTGAATGTCGCCGCATACGATTTGCGGACTCTGCAGGCTCAGTAGATTCGCCTCGCCGATGAGCAAGTCACTCAACGAGCGGCACAGCTGGCGAACCTCCAACTCCTTGGGCAGGCGGACCGGCACATGGCGCAGATTTTCCACCAGACGATCCGCATCACTCATTCCTCAGGTCACAAGGCAAGCATCATCTCTATTCTTAAGTCGGCGACGTCACTGGGCAACAGTGATGGGAAAGAAACTATTTGCTGTTTTAGTATGGGCCTATAAATGAGCTAAATAATCAGTTGCATAAGGTACAAACTGTTGGTATAGTGCAAGTACAATAGAAAATTTCGTTCTCTCAATTATTTGAACTCTTGTGTTCATAATTGCAAATAATAATATGGATAACAACTGGGTACTAATACATATGCCTAGACAGTTCCCATCACTGTTGACCAACGATTTGGGAGAAGGCGATACCACTAGGCATTTGGCCAAGAGAAAAGTGATCATCGCTGACAACTATGAAATGTCAGGGAATTGGGGCAAGATGGATGTGGTGTGGAGAAAGATGGGGGCGGGGCAGGTAATGCGAATCGGGAGTTATGTAAACATACCAGCGAATGGAATTGGACTTAGTGGCAAGTAACTTACATTGCTCTCAACGATGCGGGCCATGGTCTGGAAAATCAATGCAGTCGCGGCTCAAATCCTTTATATAATCCGCGATTTGCACCGACACCACGCACTTACTCTATATCAAACAGCCAAACGCCGACTAAGCTAATATGCAGACTAATCGGCGAGATGGTGAAAGCAATGTTTTCATTTCTACGCACTCTCAGTTTTGGTTTTGGAAAGAGAGCGCAAGTGTTTACTCTTGGAACGAGCCTCTGATATCACCTGAAATAAAATGACTATATAAAGAGGAAACTCTGAACAGAATCTTCAGACACTTACACAGTAACTAACTAATTGCATATGTATATTGCAGAGATCTAGTGCAAATTTAAAAACCAATATTCTCAGCTACAAACAAGCTGCAGTTCCAGGGCTTCTAAACTAATATGGATAAAAACCAGTTGGCAGCCCACAAAGTATCGCCAAATAAATGATGTTATTATGACAACTACACTCCTTAAAAATAAATTATAATGATATGCCTCAACATATTATGGTGAAAATCCGCAATATAATACTTTTCCTAATGCTATACATTAGAAAACATTTTTTTTATGAACATTTGAAAATGTGACTAGAGAGGAAGATATCGAAAACAAATATGAAAACTTTTGATGCCTAGTATTATCCAAACAAGGGTACATATGTACTCTACTTACTCTAAATACAAGGTGTTTATTTCTAAGCTCTTTATATACATTTTAACCATTTTTAATTACCGACTAGTTAAGGAAATAGAACTACTATTGAATTGAATATCGATATATAATCGTACAAGCACCCGTGTGCATGAAACTATCGCTAGAGGTTTCTCAGCTCTAAAAAGCGATTTCCACTTCCTTTCTAAATCGCACGTTGAAGAGAAAAGATGGCGTAAGTGTAATTCATAATTTTAATATATAAAAAAAAGTAACTTAACGTTGGAGCATAGATAAAAGTTAAAAAACGCGATCCTGTGCTCAGTGGCAATCAGAAACCAGCTTTTTAGACCTTTTTCCATGTCCATATCAGTTTGGAAATGATTGCAAAAGAAAAACGTGTTTTATGTGCCAAATAAGCAACTAATATGTGAGCTGCCCTCATTTGCACATTAGTTCGACAGTTTAAATATCACTAAATACTTGTAGTGTTCATTTACCTTCGATTTGGTTAATAGTTGTGTTAATCCTGCAGGTCGAAGGTTTCGCGTGATACGCTGTATGAGGGCGTCAATGGACTGCTGGATGCTTCTGCGAAGAAGAAGCGCGGCTTCCTCGAGACGGTGGAACTGCAGATCGGCCTGAAGAACTACGATCCCCAGAAGGACAAGCGTTTCTCCGGCACCGTCAAGTACGTTGGCTAAGTCACCTGCGCACGTTTTTGGAAAGATGCTCCTCCGGGAGTCGAATCCATCACGTCATCAGGTAGTCGAGACCATGTGGCTGTCACATCTCGACGGACCTGCACTCAGGGTCTTTAAAATTTGAGTAGGTCTCCAGTAATGGACACCGATCCCCCATTTTCTAAATAACTATGAAAACGTGCTCCTCTGAGGGCTTTGTAAGTTTTCCATGTGCCCATCTATTTATACCTACATCATTTGATTGCACAAGACCCACCCTGTCTAATTTAAGGCTATTTTCTTGCTGTTCCGCAGGTTGAAGCACATTCCTCGTCCCAAGATGAAGGTGTGCATTCTTGGCGATCAGCAGCATTGCGACGAAGCCAAGGCCAACAACGTCGACTTCATGGATGCCGAGGCTCTGAAGAAGCTGAACAAGAACAAGAAGCTGGTGAAGAAGCTGGCCAAGTCCTATGATGCCTTCCTGGCCTCTGAGTCGCTGATCAAGCAGATTCCCCGTTTGCTTGGCCCTGGCTTGAACAAGGCCGGCAAGTTCCCTGCCCTGCTGTCGCATCAGGAGTCTATGATTGGCAAGATCGAGGAGGTTAAGTCGACCATCAAGTTCCAGATGAAGAAGGTGCTCTGCCTGTCCGTCGCCGTCGGCCACGTGGGCATGAAGTCCGACGAGCTGGCCCAAAACGTCAACTTGTCGATCAACTTCTTGGTGTCGCTGTTGAAGAAGAACTGGCAGAATGTGCGCTCCCTGCACGTCAAGTCCTCCATGGGACCGCCCCAGCGCCTTTACTAGATGCGCATACTTCATTTTTCGTACATCTTGAAATAAATAAGATCCTACATTTTTGTAATGTAATTTAATTTGGTTTTAATATTTTAGCTATTATCTCTAGAGCTTGCATATAAAAAGTCATTTGCACACCGATTTGTATTGCTGCCTTACATTTCAGTGGAGCTTATGGTTCTGGCTAAGAAATCTCGCACTTCTAGCGCCGCGTGATACTCGACGTCCTCGCTGACTGAATCAGGCAGCGGCTCTGCCCGGAACTTGGAAACGTCCACCGAGTTGCCCCACTCAAGCATGTGGGGTTCGCTCAGTTCTTCCAGTAGATTGTGCAGCACTGCGGCTGCTGTGATGATGCATGAAGCTGTGTGAAAGCTAATGTCCAGGGGCTGGCTAAGGAAACTCCAGCGGGACATGAGACGATGCAATGCGCAGTCACTCAACTCCTGCAGATGCTCGGCAACCTCATTAAAGTCGTGCTCGTGCGGAGCTATCGGATCAGTATAGCGCTGCAAAAGCCAAGGACGCAGTGGATAGTTCTGGTACACCGGAGCCAAGACAAATGCCGGAACTGGGCGGGAGTTAATGCGGAATTTAGGGATTGCGGTAAGAGTATTTGGTGCGTGGGAAAACATGGGTCCCAGGGTGGCACGCAAGCCACATCCCAATTGCAGTTCCCGAAAGAGCATTCGATCATCCAGCAGATACTCCATGCGCAGTATGGAGTTCTTGGCGTCGCCATTGGCCCGGATGGGAATGGAACAGACGCCAAGGACGCCGACGAGTGCGGCGGGCATGTTGCTTTCGCGCTGGAACCCTTCGGCCACACTATTGCAGTCCACTGGATGCTGTGGCAATTGGCGCAGCGCCCGGCCTAACGTAGACATCACGGCGTTGCAAAAGACCTTTAGACACTTGATGGTCCTTGGACGGGGCAGGGAAAATCGCTCGGCAATCAAAGAGAGCCGCTCGCCGCTGGCCAAGAAGTACAGGGCCAGAGCCACACACTTTTCGGTAGAAATTGATGGCGCTCTTTGTGTCAGTTCATCCGATGTGCGCAGAGTGGGAGACAATTGCTTGCACAAGGTCTCAAAAGTTCCCCGGGTCACATGGAGTGTGTTGAGGAACTCCTCCTCGCTCAGCTCAGGAATCACATGCTCAAAGAAATGGGAATCGAAGCAGGGAAAAGTTCCTTGCATGCCAATCTCCACCTGCGGTTCTCCATCGACATCGCTGGTTTCCGAGTCCGTGCTCACGACTTGGGAATGCTTCCGACACAGCATGGCGTACGTGTGCAGGTAGTTTGAATGCATCTCCATCATCTGGCGCATAAAAAATGCGCGCAGCATCCTTAACCGCCGCCTGGTCCTCTGCTGCGTCCTTCGCCTGAGCGTAACCACCGTAGTTTGCACGTGCTGCAGGTGTAGTCGTATCAGGCGAGCCATCTTTAGCTTACGATACTGCAAGCTATTGTGTTTACTGTTTTTCAACTGGGCCAGCGCATCGCTTAAATTGCGATTGATTAACTCCACTTCCTCATCCATTTGCGATTTTTCTACACAACTCGTAATAGGGATGGGATACTAAGAGTAAGCAGAGCTCATTGATAATCGGCAAGTCTCTAATATCCCAGAACCAATAGCTATCGATTTTAAAGTAATCGAGGATTTTGCGTTCACACTGCGCTATGTCGGCTGTTTTTTGCTCAAAACAACAATAAAAGTCGCATATTTTTTATCTCAGCAGAACAAATTAATTTATTTTTTTTAAGAAAAATCTCGTTTCATAAGTTTACTGCTACCTATGTATGTATTTAGCATATTGGGCGGGTTGTATGTGTAGGGTTTCAAAATCGATGTATTTCAGACTATATACATACATATGTACATTAATTCGTTTAGTTCAAATTTTAATTTATATTAAATTAGAAGTTATGTATACATATATGTATACATATATATATATCATATTCCGCAGCCCTCGTAAGTACTCGTACATGTCGGTTGTTGTTAAGCTAATTAGCTTTTTCATTTCCTATTTTTTTTACGAATGAAAAGTCGATTTAAATGTAGCTAGAGTGTAGAATGTGTTCGCTAGAGCGAAATTTGGCATCAATGCGCGTAAATGCGTTACGAAAGCGAATGAAATTAAAAAAGGATCATATGCGATAGGAATAAAGGATCATATGCGATAGGAATAAATAACCATATGCGATAGGAAGAAATATATGCGATAGGAATAAAGGAATATATGCGATAGGAAGAAAGGATCATATGCGATAGGGATGCAGCGGCTATAATTAATAATTCTTTCAAAAATTGATCATATACCTGTACAATAGATATACCGAATATTCCGATCCCGAGTTTAATTCAGTATATTTATTTATTTATGTATTTTTAAAAGGCTCTTCTGGGTTTATTTATTTTATTTGGTATTTATTATTAATTTATTGATTATATTTATTTATTTGTTTTTTATACAATATTTAATTAATTTTTTTCGCTTTGCAACCTGGGGGATTAATTTGCTACCGAATTGATCGTACCCTCCCCCCATAAATAATGGTATAACAACGCCATTGGCTTGCATCTTTCTTTGTTTTTATTGAATACTTCATATTGAATATTTAGGGAATATTCGGCTCGCGAGCACAAAACACTCGTTAATGTTAATACCAAATTAAGTTGGTTAGTTAGTATGGGCCTAAGAGTTATGTTAAAGTATAGCCCATCATCTGGCTGTATGCATTAGGGCAGCGATTTATTTATTCTTAAATGCGCAAGATAGTTTAAACTAAGTTTAGTAAACATTTAATAAGCGTATAAGATTAAATTGAATAAGAGTTTAGCAGCAATTCCCGGCTGCCATTTTGAGCAGTTCGGCACGACTA